TCCTATATATTTTCAATTGCTAGTTTCGTAGTATCCTTATTCTTTTTTCGAACGAAAGCTCAAGTCCTCGACCTTAGAACTTTGGATTATCGAACGACTCCCATCTCCTCATTCACTCGCGGCTGCTGAATCGAGATCCTAGAGCGAAGGCTACCTAGACTTCTAGGAATCCTCTCTATCCGGTCTTCGCGCGGTCGCACCAGACTCATCGGCTGGCGATGCGTCGTTTCTAGCGGTGCTTTCCTGCGCTATACAACGCTCGTGGTATAGGTCAGTGAAGTAGGAGCAGCAGTTTCCCCCACCAGGCGGCGCTCCTAGACAACGGGTCTACGATTGACTCATCTAGCCAGTCATACCGCGCGTAAACACGATCCGCTCCAGCTGTTCTCTACCGCCTTTCCCTCTCGCTTGCTCCTTCCCTCTTCATTTTCGTTTCTCCTTCGTTTCTTGCCTGCTTCTCTTCTCTTCTCTTCTCTTCGCGGCTCCTCCGAGAACAACGGGGTGCGTTCTCCATATATTTTTGGAGTCACCTCGAAAATCTTCCTCTTCTCTCCTCCGTCGTCTTCTCGTTCTCCCTTTTTCTTCTCTTCTTCTTCTTCTTCTTCAAATTTTTGCTCGGTTTTTCCCCGCGCTATTTATACCGCGGATTTCAGTTATTGAAGTCCCGAGTCTCTGCCCTTTTTCCGTGTGTTGTGTTACGAAGCGGAGAAGTATATCTTGGCGAATTGATCAGAGAAATACCGAATGGACCGGTCTTTGTGTAAAATAATCCCTTGCTTCAAATGCTCCAGTTTACTCATTATTTCCTACATACGCACTTTAACTTCATTGCTCTCGGGAATTTTAACTTCCTCCTGTCGAGGATCTTCAATTCGAGCCTAATTTCGCTTAATTTTTCATCAAACCATATAAAATGTCGCATCAAGCCATATTTCGTATACTTCACTTCTGCTTTGCTCGGGAAGATATCGCTTCACAGAACGCTAAATATTTTTCCATCTCTCTCTCTCTCCCTCTCTGGTCTCATCCAAACCAGAAAACCTCGAATAGAGCCCGAAGAATCGTTCAACCGCGCGAGGTCTCCACGGAACTGCAACGCGAGAGAAGGATGAAGAGAGAGAGAGAGAGAGAGCGAATTGATGGGGGAAGGATGACGGGAAAGGGGGGAGGGATGGGGTGTACGAGGGGCTGGAGAGAACGAGTTCCGATTTTAGCGCAGTCGCGGCGGCCTCAGAACGAGCGGCGCTATTATGCACTAGTAGCTTGATGGCGTCACCCGTGCAACCTTGGCTCGGGTCAGTCCTCTATCATACTGCAGGCAGAGTTCCCCCGATTCCCTCCATCCCTCCTGCCCCCCCCCCCTCCCCCCCGCTTGGCCTCTCGACTCTCCGCTGCTTTAACCCTCTCTCTTGCTCGTCGTCTCTTTATCTCGGCCCGTCTCCTCTTCCTCCCAGGCGGCCAGTGGCGTAAGGGAAACGTTTCTCCTGCCTCGGAGTGGCAGCGCAGCAGCTTCTCGAAACTTTTGCTTTCTTGCCAGCATAATGCAGTATATAGTAGTACGTCAAATGTGAGAGAATTTTTTCCCCCGATCCTTACGGGAGAGAATCGCTGTCGCGTCTCCCGGCTCTCGCAGCGAGGCATAAAGAATGCGAGATTTTATCCGGCTTTGAAAACTTTCTTTTTCCGCGGCGCAACAATGTGGCACAATATTGTTTATATATATATATATATATATATCTGTATGCATGTATGTCAAATGCTGAGAATTTTTTTTTCCTAAATAAAAGCCTTGCGCGATATCTAGACGCGCATCCGCGTGACATAAAAGAGAGGCGAGATTTATTCAGAGAGACACTTATCTCTTTTCGAAACGTTCGCTCGCTCTGTGTCTCTGTCTGTAATCTGCGACATTTTTTCGCGAAAAGTTTATTGTCTGCTCTACAAAAAAAAAAAAAAAGATCGGTTGTTCGCGTTTCTCTACGCGACAAAATCAATCGCGCTTACCGCGTAAGAAATTTAAGATTTATACAGCAAAGTAGCTTACAAATGAGTTTTATACGCTTGCATTAAATGTCCATACCATTGTCATTTCAGAAATCTTCCTCGAAATATTATATTGATTTTTTCAAGAGAAACCAGCATCATATTTCGTGTAACAATTAATTTTTATCACGACTGACAGATCCGGATTCGAGTAATAAAATTATTTAGCCTAGCATATAGTTAGCGACCCTATTTTTGAAACTATGTTAGAGATTTTAAGGGCAATTAAAGGAAGATTTTAAAATGTAATACATTTTTGGATTTTTTTCTTCCAACTTTAGAAGGTTACAACTCGGAGGAAAAGCATTTTTGGCCCATGTTTTATCGGGATCTTTTTTTCTTATTTAGACCTCTAGAATACACCCTTAAAATTTTTGAGAGTTTTAGAAACCCTCGGAAGAGACAAATTTTCGGGTACACTGAAAAATATATTTGTGTAAAATTACATGAGTATACTAGGTTGTTTTCTGATCCAGCATAATCATGCAATATTGCTACTCATATGGAAGATTACAGATTATATGTAATTTCGTATGAAATATATTCTTATATATTTTTCACACAGAGAATTATACACAGGAATTGCTAGTAATGTATAAACGTTATAAATAAAATGGATAAATGCTTATAAAATAAAGTTCTGATACTTAAAAATAGTAAATTTAAAATTACATAGATTTTTACATAAAAATAGTAATTTATCTATATTTTACCTATATTTTTACACCAATATGCATTTTCACTTTAAAAACTGTGGGAAAAAACGACGGTAATAATCAAGTAATTCTTCCATAATTCTGAACAAGTATAGCAAAGCACATGGATTTTTTTCACTGTGGTTTCGCGAAAGGAAAGTTCCTCGAAGACGAGGAACCCTACGCCCATGAGAGAACGCACTGCCCTATGCTCGCGGCACAAACTCAGATCGTGTGCACTGGTGCACCGTACGATCGTGCACGATCGATGTTTGCACCGATCTGTACTCCTTACTTCGAAGTCCCGCGAATTTTCACCGTCTCGATTGTTTCTTATTTCTTCGCGCTTATCTCTCGTCAGGCAGAGAATCTCTTTTAACGAAGGGAGGACGAGACTGATGATTATTCGGATGACTCCGGGGACGGGAAACGGGTTGGCGATAACTGAAGCATCTTCTGGGGAGAGACTCGGGTTGATCGAAACCAGGTGATAGAAACGACGGGGTATGGTATCGACAACGATTTCCCTCTTTCGCCTCTTTGCAAACGACACGAAGCTATTAATACCTCGTTCATCCTGCGACGTACACACACACACACACACATATATATATATATATATATATACTTAAGCCGTGCGAAAATCTAACTCGATAAACGCTGACTGCGACCCTCCGAGCCGCGAAATCGAGATAATAGCGCTACTTTTGCGACGTGGATTTATTCGATATATATATACGATTCGAACGTGTCCCTCTCTAAGGGTTCTTCTCCTCCCAGGAGTACATCTGTTTTATTTTGTACGCGACGTGCTGAAATAATTTCTACGTTGTTGCGAGAATATCGATTCTCTCGTAATATAAATGAACGCGATGGGAAGTATGTAGGTTTCACGTTACTGTTGCAGAAATCGTGGGATGTAATTAAATGCTTGTTACAAGATATCGAGTAGTTTGACATATCTGCCAAAAGATTACAGTGCTCAATAAACAAGAATTAACCAGAACGGGATTCGTTTTTTTTTATAGTTTATTGGTATCTAATTTCCAAATTATTCCATTACGTCGCAATTTTGAGAAATTTTTAATTAAAGTTGCAAAAAAGACTTTTTTCACGAACTTTGATATATTATCTACATCGAAAAAAATGGTTAGCTTGACTAAATACTATTTTGTTAATTGAACATATAAAAATATTTAAATTAAATATAATATATTAAATTTAACACAAAACATGTCCAATTAACAAAATAGTAATTTAATTGAAAGGTTTAGTCAAGTTAACTATTTTTTTTAGTGTGCAATATGTGACGTACTAAAGAAGTTTTATACAATCTAAAAAGTCCTAACAACATACTTTATTTTAATTGCAATAAAACTTCTCTCCAGCATGTCACATATTATAGTTATAATATGACGAAGTTTGTGAAAACAGTCCTTTTGCACAAGAAATAAGAAAAGTCAAAAAGATGGGAAATTCTTATTTAAAATTTGAAAAAATAGCATGCCAAAAAATGTTTCATTAAGTACATTTTATACTCATAAATTTTTATTTTTTAAATAAGAAGATGCATCACTTTTCATATAGATTAAGGAATTGTATCAGATATTTTAAAATTGACAATTTCTAATTGGTAGAATTGTCCAATATAAATAGGATTAATATATCACTTTAATAAAAAATCTGTCAAAATTGTGACGTGATGGAGCAATTTAGAAACTGGATAGCATCCAAAAACCCATAAGAAACAATTAGTCTGTTTCATATAGATTAAGGAATTGTATCAGATATTTAAAAATTGACAATTTCTAATTGGTAGAATTGTCCAATATAAATAGGATTAATATATCACTTTAATAAAAAATCTGTCAAAATTGTGACGTGATGGAGCAATTTAGAAACTGGATAGCATCCAAAAACCCATAAGAAACAATTAGTCTGTTTCATATAGATTAAGGAATTGTATCAGATATTTAAAAATTGACAATTTCTACTTGGTAGAATTGTCCAATATAAATAGGATTAATATATCACTTTAATAAAAAATCTGTCAAAATTGTGACGTGACGGAGCAATTTGGAAACTGGATTATGAATAGCATCCAAAAACCCATAAGAAACAATTAATCTGTTCGAAAAAAAAGTCGAACAATGCAATCCTATACCCATATAGATGCGGATAAAAAACTTACGCGTGTAAAACCAACCTAAATTTGTCGGAGGACCAATTTTGTTCTAATCCATATCTTTTCTTCTCTTTCAGTATCCGAGAGCTACAACAATTACGTGAACATGTATGGCGGGGGCGGTCAATTCGCGACCCCCTGTACCCCAAGCCCGCCACGGGGCCCCGGCGGTGTGCCCACCAGCGTGATCCAGGCGGCCACCAGCTCGGTCTCGGACGACCTCTACCTTCTCGAGCTGGGCTTCCCGCCGCGCTCGAAGAAAAGCAAGCTGAAGAAGCCGCGGCAGGGCGAGAACGGCGGCGCCGCCGTGAAGCGGAAGTCGCGCGAGGGCTCGACCACGTATCTCTGGGAGTTCCTGCTCAAGTTGCTGCAAGACCGGGAATACTGTCCGCGCTACATCAAGTGGACGAATCGCGAGCGCGGCGTATTCAAGCTGGTCGACAGCAAGGCGGTCTCGCGTCTCTGGGGTCTGCACAAGAACAAACCGGACATGAATTACGAGACGATGGGCAGGGCTCTGCGCTACTATTATCAGCGCGGCATCCTGGCGAAAGTCGACGGCCAGCGGTTGGTCTATCAGTTTGTCGAGGTGCCGAAGGACATTATCGAGATCGATTGTACAGGCGCATGAGACAGGGAGCCGGCCCGTCCCACGTTGGACGAGGAGAATGAGGATGAGGATGAGAAGGTGGATCCGTCGCTGCGACGAAGACGCGGCGTCTCGACGCGGACCTCGCGCGGACGTCGTCCGTCGTTACCGTCGTCGCTGCTGACGTTGCGACATCGCGGACCCGTCGCGGGATTCCACTCGCGCGAGAGATCGCCGTCCAACGATTCTTCCCGCCGAGACGCGCCGACCTGGCACACCCCTCAGACCTTGTAAAATGCATTCTCTCTCTCTCTATCCCCTTCTTTCTGTCGCTGTATCTCTCTCTTTCTTTGTTCCTTTTCCTCTGTCTGTCTCTCCCTTTCCGCTTCTCTGGTTTTTTTTTTTCATATGTACATCTCTCTTTCTCTATCTCTCTACTTCTCTCTGGCTTCGTTTGTTCCTTGTATTATATCTATGTAAATGTATATTAAAGGCGCCGGATGACGCGACGTCCTCCTCCCCACGGTCCGTTTCTTTCTTGTGTGTCCGAATATCGCGTAGGAGACGAGATCGGCACCGTGTGATTGGCGGCGCCCGAATCGTTGAAGTTTGTACAAAATTTTAGTTCTTAAACGTCGACGACGAGGAAACTAAAGAAATTTTATCTCGGGGTGTACCTTTTTTGCCGGAAGGACGCCGTGGACAAATTACTTAAGCGTGAGGCATCGGAGAAAAAAATTGTACATTCGAAAAATATATATAAATTATTTATTGTATATTAGACGTTTATATATGTGTGTTACCTAAGGAAATTGTTATGCGCGTTATGTCCATGCAAATGGTATAAAAAAAAGAACAGAGTACGAAAACTGAGGAAAGTTTAGAAAAACAAAAATTGTAACGAAATGAGGGCTGTGAAAGGATTATGGATATCGAGAGCGGAGGAAAAGAGACAAGGATACGAGAGCACGGCGAAAGAATGAGAGACGTCTCTCTCTCTCTCTTAAAGTTTCACGGAGCGAGCTCAGGGAGGGGTGCACATTATATTTTTTTAAGTATAAGAGCGGAAGGGATTGGCCCTTTCAATTCGTGAGCCGAGGGGTTCAACAACGCAAGGTGCTGGCTAATATACATACACACATACACACACACACACACGCACACCGAGGTCCAAGAATTATTATTTAGCAACCTAGTGTTACTGATTCGTAATAAAGATTATCGAGACAGACATTATATTATATCGCTGTATATAGATATAAAAGAATTTACCTTTAGTGAAAAAAAATTATATATTATATTGAATATATTATATATATTATATAAATATATATATTATATATGTTATGTAGTAAAAAATGGAGCGAAGTTGATGTGTCTCTATGAGATTTGTCGTCACACATATAGGCGACACGCGTAGGGAGCTTTAACCGTCTCGTGCGCCCGCGACGTCTCTTTCGAAACTATTGTTCTACTCTTTACCGTCTCCCTGTATTACATTGGGGATGAATTTTATACATCTAAGAACGCGAGTACGTTCGACCTCCTTTTTAGTCGCAGTTGTCGCAATACGCACATACATATATTGCTCTGGTCTCGCATGCTCAGACTGATCGGAGACGTCGCACGTACAACAGAGAGAAAGCCCACCCGGGACGCGTAATAATAAAGCGCGTAACCCTAGAATAAAATTTTAACTTATTGGCGCCCCGGGACGCGTGACGCGCGCGAATGCAAGTGTATCCTACGTAGCCCTAAGTTTTTGTACATAAAGAGGAATCGTCGTAAAGATGTATATGTATATACATATATATATAATTATATTTTATATATATAAATATATATATAGCTTATATATTATATATAATATATATTATATATATAATTATATAATAATATATATAATATATATTATATGTAAAAAATATAAAATATATATATAAAAATATATATATATATATATATGTGTGTGTTGTGTGTGTGTGTGTGTGTGAGAAAGATGCACGCTAGTTATCCTCGCGAGAATTATCCGCGGGAGAAAGAGAACGACGAGTAAGGTGAAAGAAAAGAAATTGTATAGATCACACGCAATGGTAAAACGCGGCCGCGACGCGTGTAAACAGGCCGATTTTTGCATTACAGCCTCGGGATATTCCGATGAAACGAAAAAAATATACAGTACATATTTGAACAGTGATCCAGTGCTGCCAATAATGCCTGTAAACCTGTCCCTTCGGCATTTATATCACTCGAGTCGGAATTTTGTTCGAGTCGGTGCTAGTTAGATCGATCAACGTTTCGGGGGACACCAGACATACCGATGATACAAAGCAAATTGCCTTCTCGTATTAACAAAGACGTGTTGCCTTCTAACAAAAAAAAAGACGCATATAAAAGTTCTAGCGATTTGTATCGTAAATACCGTCACTTTGTCCAGGTACTTAAAGCTCTTTACATAATATATATATAAATATATATATATATATATTATATATATATACCTAGCATCGTTTTTGTGAAGAATTAAATTTTGTAATTTTATCAGAGTGAAAAGTTCTTTGGGGTACGTGGCGACTTTTATCGTACTTTGAATACAATGTATTGGCGGGAAATAGTAATAACATTAATAATATTATTAATATAATAATAATAATAATGATAAAAGAACAAGATATATCAGAGAGTACAATGGACAAAAAGTACCTATAGTATACCACTTCTATACATGATAACAGACACTTATAAACAATGAATGGACACTACAACAGAAATCCTATTTTTAGGTAAATTAAATTTATATATATACATAACGATCCACACTCTCTACGAGATATTTTAACAAATAAGACTTTACTGTAATAGAGATAAATACATAATTATTTACCTGTAAAATATATGAAAACACGATGGATTGACGTAAGGAACTCTAATGTAACGTTCTGTGATTCGTTGTTTGTAGGTGAAATTTAATAAAAGATTATTGTATCATAATATATATATATATACATATATATATATACATATACATATATAATTGTGCGATTTTTTTATTTCCTACTCTGAAATTAAAAATACTTCTGAATTTTTTATTTTTTAACCGATTGAATTTTTTTACTTTTGTATAAACAATTCTATTAATTTTTACACAATTATATTTTTAGAATTACAGATAAGATATGCTTTTTACTTATGCGTAATGTCTCAAAAATATGCCACGACTTAAAATAATTTTATGTAATGTGAGTCATATCATTTAAATCCTTCAAATAAAACCCTTCACGTTTTAATTTATAATAAAAAAATTTAAATTGCGTTATAAAATTAATTATTAAATTTTACGCAATTAATAATTTTTAATTGAGTGTAAATAATTATTGTGTTTTACGACAATTATTTTTGTTTGTTATCTTAACTTTTCATAAAGAAAATTCAGTCATAAGTAACCTAAAAAACTTGTATTAAAAAAATATATATATTGTTTTAAATTTTTTATATATGATATTTCCTATAAATATATAAATATAGTTTCGCGCGCTCAATTTTCGAGTCATAATTATTTTCATCATCGATAATGAAGATTCGACGATAATTCAGATATTGCAGATTGCTACTGTCGATAAGTAAGTTACCATTGTTGACTATTGAGATGTTACTATGGCAACATAAATAAAGAAATGGCGAAATAATAAATTGGGGAAAATAGATAAAATACTCAAAGATTTATAATTTTAGATAAAGATTCCAATTATATCATGAGCAATCATATCGCTCGTCATTAATAAAACATTAAAAATTGATGCACATTATAGGACAAGCGATACAAAACAGAATATTCTTCTACATAAAACACATTTTCATATTTATATATATTATATATGATAAATACGTGTTGAATCCGCGACATGTAAATGCAAATATATTTCATATTTTATTGTGCCATTGTTATTCAATATGACACTAAAAATACCAAAAAATTCAATTATTCAATTTATATTTCCCGATACATATAATAATGTAGGAAAACAGAAAAATTGCCACAGCTATTTCGCCAAAAAGAAAGAGAGAGAGAGAGAGAGAGGGAGAATTGTTTTCTTTATTTGCAATTTCACGGTAGTTTTACTTTTCTCTCTCTTTCAATATATGTATAATAACAAATATATAATCTTAATTACCAAATTATGTTAGAAAATCAGTCCTGAGGATCAGAGATAATCACATACCTCGTAAAATGACGCAGAAGTTTATATATAACCGGAGTAGCTGGTCGATTGTGTCATCACTGTTCTAGGCGCGGAATTTGACTGACTGTTGATGCGGCGCCAGCCGAGTGCTCCCGACTTCGCACGAGGGCGCCCGAAGCGCGGAATCCGGTCGTGCCCGGAACGTCAAAAGTCCGAAGCGGAACGAGTGGAGCGAGTTCGCGAGTGAATTATACCTTCTGATTGCCGTTTTTTTTCGCGTATTTTATTTCGACGAGAGGACCTCCGTCGTCGCACGCTCGACGACCTGTCAGCTGTCACCTGTCAAAGAAACGTCACTCGTATCGATCCTCGGCGGCGAAATTGATCCTGCCACACCCCGCAGTGGCCATTTTGGTGGAAGTCGGTGGGCTACGTGGATCGGCCAGCCATGGACCAGATCACGCCTAAGGAGGTAAAGATCCTCGAGAATCCGGAGGACATCCAGGAGAGACGAGACCAGGTGCTGGGGCGGTACGCCAACTTCAAGTCCGAAGCGCGCAATAAACGGGACAAGCTCGAGGACTCCCGTCGCTTTCAAGTATGTCGTGCCCCTTAATTAGCGTGCAATCATTTTCTGACGTTTGACACTTCTCACGTCCTGGACGCTTACCCTCTCTTGCGTTTGATTTTTCAGTACTTTAAGCGAGATGCGGACGAACTCGAGGGATGGATCTACGAGAAACTCCAGGCGGCTTCGGACGAGAGTTACAAGGATCCGACTAATCTGCAGGCGAAGATTCAGAAGCACCAGGCCTTCGAGGCGGAAGTCGCTGCTCATTCGAATGCCATCGTGTTGCTCGATAACACCGGTTCTGAAATGATAGCTCAGCATCATTTTGCTAGCGATGTAATTCGCAAGAGATTAGGTGTGTTCTTATGTCAGAGATATGTTCATTGATTTTCATCCGTCATTTGAATATATTGCCAAAGTATACATATGCTGTCAAATGTACTACAAATTTTTATTCGCATGCAAAAATATTATAAATTTAATATTAATCAGATTTTTTAAAAGTTATGTCTTGAGACGATACTTTTAAATTGGAAAACTGTATACTTAGCTCAGCATTATTTTGTCAGCAATGTGAGTCGCAAGAGATTAGGTGTGTTCTTGTGTCAGAGATATGTTAATTTATTTCATCCGTCATTTAAATATATTGCCAAAGTATACATATGCTGTCAAATGTACTACAAATTTTTATTCGCATGCACGAATATTATAAATTTAATATTAATCAGATTTTTTAAAAGTTATGTCTTGAGACGATCCTTTTAAATTAAAAGACTGTATTATTTGGTAATGTACTGATATATGTCAAATTCATTTGTCGATGCAATCTAATAACGCAATGTATCTAATTACTTACAGAGGAACTGCATCGCTTGTGGGAGTTGCTGTTGTCCCGCTTGGCTGACAAGGGTCTGAAGTTACAGCAGGCTTTAGTTCTTGTACAGTTCATTCGCCACTGCGATGAAGTGATGTTCTGGATCCACGATAAGGAGGCTTTTGTAACGACCGATGAATTTGGACACGACTTGGAGCACGTGGAGGTGCTTCAAAGGAAATTCGATGAATTCCAAAAGGACATGGCCAGCCAGGAGTACAGGGTTACAGAGGTGAACGAGCTGGCGGACAAGCTGCTGTTAGATGGACATCCTGAACGTGACACCATTCTGCGCAGGAAGGAGGAGCTCAACGAATCCTGGCAGAAACTGAAACAACTGGCCACTCTGCGACAGGAGAAGCTCTTCGGGGCTCACGAGATTCAGAGATTCAATCGCGATGCAGATGAGACCATGGCTTGGATCGCGGAGAAGGACGTTGTACTGTCATCTGATGATTTTGGTCGAGATCTCGCCAGTGTCCAGACGTTACAACGAAAGCACGAAGGTATCGAACGCGATTTGGCGGCTCTGGAAGACAAAGTATACACACTAGGCGGGGAAGCCGATCGTCTCGCCGGCATTCACGAAGCCGACCACTCCAAGCAGATTCAAGCTAAACGCGCCGAGATCTTGCAATCGTGGGAGAGCCTGACAGCGAAGGCGAAAGAACGACGTCTCAAACTCAACGAATCCTATTATCTGCATCGGTTCTTAGCCGACTATCGCGACTTGGTGTCGTGGATGAACGATATGCGCGCCATCATTTCCGCGGACGAGTTAGCTAAAGATGTAGCGGGCGCCGAGGCTTTGGTCGACAGACACCAGGAACACAAGGGAGAAATCGACGCTAGGGCCGACAGCTTCGACGCGACCACTCTGGCTGGTAATAAGCTGTTGGAGAAGCAGCATTACGCCGCTGAGGAAGTGGCGCGGAAATTAAACTCCCTCGCCGACGACAAGTCGTCTCTCTTGAGTCTATGGGAGAAGAGACGTATCTTGTACGAGCAATGCGTGGACTTGCAGCTGTTCTACCGTGATACCGAGCAAGCGGACGCGTGGATGGCGAAGCAGGAAGCTTTTCTCGCCAACGAGGATCTAGGAGATTCCCTTGACAGCGTAGAGGCGCTCATTAAGAAACACGAGGACTTTGACAAATCTTTGGCAGCTCAGGAGGAGAAGATCAAAGTGCTCGATGATTTCGCAGGAAAGTTAATCGAGGGCGAGCATTACGCCGCGGACGATGTGGCGCAACGACGACAGTTGCTGCTGGAGAGAAGAGCGATTCTCCTTGAGAAATCAGCTCAAAGGCGCCGTCGTCTGGAGGATGCGTACAAGCTACAACAGTTCGAGAGGGACTGCGACGAGACCAAGGGCTGGGTTAACGAGAAACTCAAGTTCGCCACCGACGACAGTTACTTGGATCCGACAAATTTGAACGGCAAGGTTCAGAAGCATCAGAACTTCGAGCAGGAACTGAACGCGAACAAGACGCGCATGGAAGAAATGGTGGCTACCGGCCAAGAATTGATCGAGAGCGGACATTACGCCAGCGATCGCATACGCACCCGGACCGACGAGATCGTGACCTTGTGGGAGAGCTTGGCGCGGGCCACCGAGAAGAAAGGCGCCAAGTTGCAGGAGGCTTCCCAGCAGCAGCAGTTCAACCGAACGGTAGAGGACATCGAGCTGTGGCTCTCGGAGGTGGAAGGGCAGCTCATGTCGGAAGATTACGGCAAGGATCTGACCAGCGTTCAGAACCTGCAGAAGAAACACGCGCTCCTAGAAGCCGACGTGGGCTCCCACGCCGACAGGATAGACGGTATCACTCAAGCGGCCGAGCAGTTTGTTAGTTCGGGCCACTTTGACGCCGACAACATCAGATCCAAGCAGGAGCAGCTGCAAGGCAGATACAGCGCCCTGCAACGTCCCATGAGCATGAGGAAGCAACGACTTCTGGACTCCCTCCAGGTGCAACAGCTATTCAGGGACATTGAGGACGAGGAGGCGTGGATTCGCGAGAAGGAACCGGTCGCGGCGTCCACCAATCGCGGCCGCGACCTGATCGGTGTGCAAAATCTTCAGAAGAAGCACCAAGCCGTTCTAGCCGAGATCAATAATCACGAGCCGAGGGTGGCCGCGGTGTGCCAGGCGGGCTCGACGATGCTGCAAGAGGGCCACTTCGCCGCTGAGGAGATCAATCAGCGATTGGCGGCCTTGGACGAGCACTGGGGACAGCTGAAGGACAAGGCTCGGCAGCGCAAGAACGACCTTGACGATTCATTGCAGGCGCATCAGTACTTCGCCGACGCAAACGAGGCTGAATCGTGGATGAAGGAGAAGCGTCCTATAGTGATGAATGGCGATTACGGCAAGGACGAGGATAGCTCCGAGGCTCTTCTGAAGAAGCACGAGGCCTTGGTCAGCGATTTGGAAGCGTTCGCTAGCACCATCGCGGGGCTGAGAGATCAAGCTGCCGCTTGCAGACAGCAGGAGACCCCCACCGTCGACATCACCGGCAAGGAATGCGTCGTCGCTCTTTACGATTACACCGAGAAATCTCCTAGGGAGGTGTCCATGAAGAAGGGCGACACCCTCACTCTTCTCAACTCCAACAACAAGGATTGGTGGAAGGTCGAGGTGAACGATCGTCAAGGTTTCGTACCAGCGGCGTACGTGAAGCGCGTGGAACCCGAAGCGGGTCTCAGCGCGTCTCAGCAAAACCTGGCCAGAGAGCAGAGCTCGATCGCCGCGCGACAAGCGCAGATTCAAGGGCAGTACGACGATCTTCTGCGTCTGGCGCGTGAACGTCAGAACAAACTCAACGAAACAGCCAAGGCTTACGTGCTGGTGAGAGAGGCCGCGGAGTTGGCCACTTGGATCAAGGACAAGGAGAATCACGCGCAGGTGCAGGACGTGGGCGAGGACCTGGAACAGGTGGAGGTGATGCAGAAGAAGTTCGACGACTTCCAAGCAGACCTCAAAGCGAACGAGGTGCGTCTGGCCGAGATGAATGAAATCGCCGTGCAGCTGATGAGCCTCGGGCAGACCGAGGCGGCGCTGAAGATCCAGACGCAGATCCAGGATCTGAACGAGAAGTGGACCAGTCTGCAGACCCTCACCGCGGAACGCGCCAATCAACTAGGTTCCGCTCATGAGGTGCAACGCTTCCATCGCGACGTCGACGAGACCAAAGATTGGATTCGTGAAAAGGACGCGGCGCTGAACAACGACGATCTCGGCAAGGACTTGCGCAGCGTTCAGGCTTTGCAGCGTAAGCACGAAGGTCTGGAGAGGGATCTGGCGGCTTTGGGAGACAAGATTAAGCAGCTCGACGAGACTGCCAATCGCCTAATGCAGTCGCATCCGGAGACCGCCGAACAGACGTACGCCAAGCAGAAGGAGATCAACGAGGAATGGACTCAATTAACAGCCAAAGCCAACAGCAGAAAGGAGAAGCTTCTCGACTCGTATGATCTGCAACGATTCCTCAGCGATTATCGCGACCTGATGGCCTGGATCAATTCGATGATGGGCCTGGTCGCTTCCGAGGAACTAGCGTCGGACGTCACCGGTGCCGAGGCGTTGCTCGAACGTCACCAGGTAAAATTATACGTTCCTTCGTCGCAGCATGATTGTATACAATCATATCATCACTCATCTGCCGAATCGTTTACAAGTCATTTAAATTATAGAATCACAGAGCAGAGATAGACGCGCGATACGGCGTACTTCCAGAGGTATATCAAGAACGTTTGAGCATGCATCGAGGAAGTCGCGGATTTCTTTGCGAGAATTAATCCAATTTCAAATTAATCTCGCGTGATTCGCCTCGTTGATGTTTTGTTCTTTTTTTTCTTTTACAAGTGGAAGTTGATCTCGATTCTGACGATGTTTTCTTTTCTTTCTGCAATAAAAGTACTGCCTATTAACAGTTTGAGCAATTTCGATGCTTCGCGCGTAATATCTACTGCCTTTCTGCTTGTAATCTCTACTGCCGAATGGACTTGATCGTACATAATAACAAACAGTATTGCCATATTGACACGAGAAATCCGAGAATTGAGCCACGTGTGATTTTACTTTAATAAATTCCTCTCGCTTCTTTACAGGAGCACCGAATGGAGATAGACGCCAGAGCGGGAACCTTCCAGGCGTTCGAATTGTTCGGCCAACAGCTGCTGCAATCCAGCCACTACGCCAGCGTGGAGATCTTGGAGAAGCTTGAGTCCATGGCCGAGGCGCGACAGGAGCTGGAGAAGGCCTGGATCCAACGGCGCATGCAGCTGGATCAGAACCTCGAGCTGCAGTTGTTCTGCAGGGATTGCGAGCAGGCGGAGAACTGGATGAGCGCGCGAGAGGCCTTCCTCAGCAGCGCGGACGCGGTGGACAGCAGCGACAACGTCGAGGCCCTCATTAAGAAGCACGAGGACTTCGACAAGGCGATCAATGCGCACGAGGAGAAGATCGCCACCTTGCAGACTCTGGCTGATCAGCTGATCGCAGCCGAGCATTACGCCGCAAAGCCGATCGACGAGAGACGGTGCCAGGTGCTGGATCGTTGGCGGCATCTGAAGGACGCTCTTATCGAGAAGCGCTCGAAGCTGGGCGAGTCGCAGACCCTGCAACAGTTCTCCCGCGACGCCGACGAGATGGAAAACTGGATCGCCGAGAAACTTCAACTGGCCACCGAGGAGAATTATAAGGATCCCGCCAATATCCAGTCCAAGCATCAGAAGCATCAAGCCTTCGAGGCCGAATTGGCCGCGAACGCGGACCGAATCCAATCAGTCCTCGCTATGGGAGGTAATCTGATCGAGAAGCATCAGTGCGCCGGCTCGGAGGACGCGGTTCAGAAGAGATTGGCGTCCATCGCCGATCAGTGGGAATATCTTACGCAGAAGACGACAGAAAAGTCGATGAAGTTGAAGGAAGCTAATAAGCAGCGCACTTACATCGCCGCTGTGAAAGATCTCGATTTCTGGCTCGGAGAGGTCGAGAGTTTGCTCACGTCCGAAGACGCCGGCAAAGACCTGGCCTCGGTGCAGAATCTGATGAAGAAGCATCAACTCGTCGAGGCGGACATACAGGCCCACGAAGAGAGGATCAAAGATATGAACTCGCAAGCGGACTCGTTGATTGAGAGCGGCCAATTCGATGCCGCTGGTATTCAGGAGAAACGACAGAGCATAAACGAGCGTTACGAACGAATCAGAAATCTAGCCGCGCATAGACAGGCAAGACTCAACGAGGCCAACACTCTTCATCAATTCTTCCGCGATATCGCCGATGAAGAATCTTGGATCAAGGAGAAGAAACTTCTCGTTGGTTCGGACGACTACGGCCGCGATCTTACCGGCGTGCAGAACTTGAGAAAGAAGCACAAGAGATTGGAAGCTGAACTAGGTAGCCACGAACCGGCTATACAAGCAGTTCAAGAAGCGGGAGAGAAGCTGATGGACGTCTCCAATCTTGGAGTGCCCGAAATCGAGCAGCGTTTGAAGCTTCTCAATCAGGCGTGGGCCGAACTGAAGCAATTGGCTGCCACTAGAGGACAAAAGCTGGATGAATCTTTAACGTATCAGCAGTTCCTCGCCAAAGTCGAAGAGGAGGAAGCGTGGATCACGGAGAAGCAACAATTACTCTCCGTCGAGGATTACGGCGACACGATGGCCGCTGTTCAAGGTCTCTTAAAGAAGCACGATGCGTTCGAGACTGATTTCGCGGCTCACGGTGAACGTTGCAAGGATATCTGCGAGGCTGGCGAGACCTTGATCAAGGCTGGCAATCATCGGGCGGACGCTATTGGTCAGAGATGCGCGCAACTGCGCAACAAACTGGAGCAACTCGGGGCTCTCGCCGCCCGCAGGAAGACGCGATTGAACGACAACTCGGCGTACTTGCAATTCATGTGGAAGGCCGATGTGGTCGAGTCCTGGATCGCCGACAAGGAGACCCACGTGCGCTCCGAAGAGTTTGGCCGAGATCTGTCCACCGTGCAAACTCTGCTCACCAAGCAGGAGACTTTCGACGCCGGTCTCCACGCGTTCGAGCACGAGGGCATCCAGAATATCACCTCATTGAAGGAGATGCTTGTAGATTCCGGCCACGATCAGACGCCCAGTATACAGAAGCGTCACGCCGACGTGATTACTCGTTGGCAAAAGCTGTTGGCCGATTCGGACGCGAGAAAGCAACGTCTGCTGAGAATGCAAGATCAGTTTAGGCAGATCGAGGAGCTGTATCTGACATTCGCGAAGAAGGCGTCCGCTTTTAACTCTTGGTTCGAGAACGCCGAGGAGGATCTGACGGATCCCGTGCGTTGCAACAGTATCGAGGAGATTCGCGCTCTTCGCGAGGCACACGCACAGTTCCAAGCCAGTTTGTCCTCGGCTGAGGCCGACTTCCAAGCCCTGGCCGCACTCGACAGGCAAATCAAGAGCTTCAACGTCGGGCCCAATCCGTACACGTGGTTCACGATGGAGGCCTTGGAGGATACTTGGCGTAACTTGCAGAAGATAATTAAGGAGCGCGACGTTGAACTCGCCAAGGAAGCGCAGCGGCAGGAAGAGAATGATAAATTACGCAAGGAATTCGCCAAGCACGCCAATGCCTTCCATCAATGGCTCGCGGAAACAAGGTGTGCATCAATCTTGAAATAAATATTAATCTACTCTTTTCTTTAAATAAAAATATATAACAAATTATCTCTTTTTTTTTTTTTTATAGAACATCCATGATGGAAGGCTCTGGATCTTTAGAACAGCAACTGGAAGCTACCAAGGTTTGTGGATAATTTATTATGATGATAGAATTTAAAGAACATTTTATCATACATTATGTTACATATAAATTATATTTACAGCGAAAAACTCAAGAAGTGCGCGCACGTCGTCAAGACCTGAAAAAGATCGAAGATCTGGGAGCTATTCTAGAGGAGCATCTAATCTTAGACAATCGTTACACGGAGCATAGTACCGTGGGATTGGCACAGCAATGGGACCAGCTGGATCAACTGGGAATGCGAATGCAGCACAATTTGGAGCAGCAGATTCAAGCCCGAAATCAATCCGGTGTATCTGAAGACGCGCTCAAAGAATTTTCCATGATGTTCAAGCACTTTGACAAGGACAAGAGCGGCCGTCTAAATCATCAAGAATTCAAATCGTGCCTGAGAGCTTTGGGTTACGATCTACCCATGATGGAAGAAGGGCAACCTGATCCAGAATTCGAGAATATATTAGGTTTGGTTTCTTCTAATTCTTTGATGTTATATTATTTTAGACGTCGATCAATTTTTAACACAATGTTACTCCGTTCGCAGACATCGTTGATCCTAATAGAGATGGCTACGTATCACTGCAAGAATATATGGCGTTTATGATCAGCAAGGAAACGGAGAACGTACAGAGTTCGGAGGAAATCGAAAACGCTTTCCGAGCCATCACCGCAGCAGATCGGCCTTATGTCACGAAAGAGGAATTATATGCTGTAAGTGCAAATATACTAATATTTAGAAAATTTGAAATACCTCCTTTCCTATAATATTCCAATTAATATAATAATAAAATAATTTATGTTCTTCTTTCAGAACCTCACAAAAGAAATGGCCGATTATTGTGTCGCTCGTATGAAACCTTATGTAGATCCCAAGTCGGAACGACCGATAACGGCAGCGTTGGATTATATAGAGTTTACACGCACCCTTTTCCAGAATTAATTATGCATTCAACTATACGCGTGTTACATTAATATTGTTCAAGCTTATTAAATTATAACCGCGCATAAACAGCGCAAAGCTGTTGCATATTTCTTTTTTTAAACTGCATGACTAAATATTTATATATTAATCTATATAGATTATCTACAACGTTTGCATAGAAAGATTTGACTTTATTTAGATTTAGACCAAGGACTGGCTGATATAACGAATATGTCCTTATATTGTCGATAGAAAGAAAAACAATTTTTCTTCTAAACTTTTGATATATGTATATGCATTTAACGCCTGCATTTTTAAAAATATATTCAGAATATATTATACGAGCTTTAAAATACTAAATTTTATTTGCATATCAGTCAGTTTTGGTTTGATACTCTTTCCATGTTATTGTTCGAAATAAATGCATTTAATATATTACATTGTCTTAGTTTTTATTCAATAAATCTCTAAAATATGCAAGTTCTTGTTTTCATATAAATTTTCTTACATTAACGTAATTAAAATGTTTTTTTTTTTTTTTTTTTTTTCAATTTTAGTGACAAATAGAAATAATATAAAATATGAATGTTAATAGGAAATGAATGTGACAGAGGAATATTTTGTTTGTATCTTATTGAGCAATTGGATTTACAACCATCTGAGATTTCTCTTGAATTATTTGTTCAGCGCGGTATACTTTCCAGCATATTAAATAATCCCTCGCTACTTTGAACAGAGTATAGTAATTTATAACCAGTAACAGTGTCATCGAGAGTACCTGATACCATTCGGTCACCCGTAACAGAATAAGCAGTTGAACACCCACTAGTAGCAACTGTAGTCCCAATAGTGAACAAAGTAGCATTGTTGGATTATTGAATAAGGCCTGCGCAAAAAAAAGTATAACAGTTAACATATTTCAAGCGTAATATCTTTCATTATGCATAACAATATAACATAAGATCATACATGGAATCTATAGTGATTTAGATTTCCCGGTTCCGCTGCTGTGCATAGACCTTCGGAACGATAAACCTCCCGATTATGCTTTACAACTGACCCGTGGGGCCATAATACCGTATCATTCCACGGTTGAGCATATATGTGATTATTTCTGCTCTCTATTTTAACCCATCGGCCTAAATGCAGCGCTGCCCTGTGTAGCACATCGCAGTATCTGAAAATCAAAGAGTTGGGTAGTAACTAGTTCATTAATTATAAGTTAAATAAAAAAGTTAATAACTTTTAATTTAGCTTAATTAATTTTATTTAACTAGTTATTTTTAAACTTGAACTTTTTTAAATTTAACTTTTAACTAAATTAGTTTTTCGTTCATGCAACTTTTAACGTAACTAGATTAATTGTATATAAGCTATCAATTTTAACTTAACTTAGTTTAAAAAAAATAATTAACTTATCCAACCGTACTAAAAATTAATTTAAAAAAATATAAACACATCTTTGAACCGTAGATTTTTGACTAAAGAAATAATCCTTACGGCTATGAAAGAGTATATATTCACCTGACGGGATAAGACTGAGCAAAGTAAGCGCTTATCCGTCCAAGCCAGAATAAAATGACATGCTGCACCACCCATGGTATATTGAAATGTAAGTGCGGCGGTACGAAGATGATGGGAGCGATTCCGCAAACGTACGCACTTCCGGAGGACGAGAACAGAGCTCGCTTTAATCGTCGATTAAAATCGGACCTCAGGGTGAACACTTCCGCCCGGATGGCCGACGCATTTAGCGAGCAATTGTGCAAGGGTTTATCTTGAGCATGAGAAAAGTGATGTCACACTCTAAACTTTGGAAATGAATAACAGACGAAGTGAACGAGAGATGCGACGCACTCTTACCTAATAGATATTTCGTTTTCCGTTCCTCCTTCCCACCTGAGAATGATGTAGAAATATCGAAGAAGGGTGCTGTGCTTATGCCAAACATGACAAAGTATACCGACAAACTTCTGAAACAAATAGATGTCATAAGCAATAATGTTCCACAATCTCTGATTTCACTTGATAAAAATAATATGAAATATATTATTTAGTATTATATATGATTTAATAATATATATGATAAAAAAAGAGGAACACACGGATAACACAAGTAAAAGATCTTCATAGAGTTATGCCTCTCAGCCATGTGGTAGAGACACCAGCATAATATGCTCATCACAGTAATTAATAGAGATATTCTGAAATAAAATTACATAAATATTAAAATATCTTAACATTGTCTCGTTAAATCGAAAGAGGATTAGTCGATGATGAATCATATAACAATACCTCATAATCTTTTGGATCGCAGGTAACCATCGAATTGGCAATGACATGTCAATGAATTGACGTAATAGTGTATAAACAAATCTCCGTGCCACCATCGTAAAAATAAATACAAGCAGGTAAGGATCTATCAAGTAAAAATTCTGAAACAGCATAATTCAGGGTACTTTTAGTAATCTCTCTCTCTCTCTATATATATATAGTACCCTCCCCAAGTTTGGAAACACCTTACATTTTACAGTTAAACAATCATTTGGCAGCGATCTGTTCAGATTTTTTGCATGAATATATCAAAAGATATTTAAGATCTTTTATATGAATATATCATAAGATATTTAGAATATATAGCTATAAAAATGTCATTTAAATTCATACAAAAAATCTAAACAGATTCCTGCCACGCGATTGTTTAAAACTGTAACATGTAAGGTGTTTCCAAACTTGTGGAGGGTTTCTAAAATGTTAGTACACAAATAAAAGGAGCGTACCATACTGTAATTATTGTACGAATGTGGTAACCACCATACGGTTCTGTACAGATTAAGCAGCTGCAGACAGGCTGCGATGACTGAGATGGCCAGGGATAGAGCTTCGAAGGTCAGTTGTCCGTCGACCGGGACCACGGGTATAGGAACGTGCTTCGGCGCCAGGGATTTCCCGTAAATCTCGTCGATCCTCTTGTCGTCCGCCCCCAGCGCTCTCTCCCCGCTGTTGCTCCTCCCGTTGACGTTCGCGGAACCGGCATAATTTCCCGACCTGCCGTTCGGGCCGGCTCGACCGGCAGCGTTTCGTCTGCCGCCAGGCATCTCTCCTCGCGCATTCACTCCCTTATGACACCAGCTCCCTTGTCCCGAGGATGATCCTCGCACGTGACGAACATCCTTCGGTTTCGAGACACGTGTTCTATCGGCGACAGTTCTTTTTTCTCTCGAAACCTGATTTTTCCGTCATATTGTTTGTCACTGTAAACAAAACACGGAATAATAAAAATAAATTAATATTAATAATAATAATAATAATAATAATAATAAAAATAATAATAATATGATGTGAGAGAGATTGTATACATTTATATTTATAGCGAATACAAACATTGAATATTCAATTCCATTCACTTGAATTTCGACGAACGTGGATTTCTTCCAAGTTTTGAGTTTTCTTCGCGTCAAGAATTTTTCAAAGGTTGAAATCGTCGCTTCGAAGAATAAAAAGAATTGTCAACTGTTGAACGTGAGCTTTTTTTTAAGGTTAGATAACTTCTCATATGCGCATGCGCAGTCTAAATATGCTTGCCATATGATATAAATGTCATTTTACACTTGTTTATAATTTGAGATTTTTCTGTTCTAATTATTAAACATTGTCAACGAAAGGTATTTATTCTTCTAAATAATATTTAAACTACAAACGTCAATCTAGAATCTAGAAATCAATCTGTCATTAATCAGTTGAAATGTATCACTTTACTTCATTTCTTCACTTCTAACCTCTTCTCTTGCACAATTTTAATTATTAAAATTACTATTAATAATCAGGATTGGATAAGTTAATGATTTTTTTAAGTTAAAGTTAATATAAAATTATAAAATTAATTTAAAGTTTAGATTAAATAAACTAAAGTAAAATCAAAAGTTAAAAATAAATACATTTTAAAACTAAGCTAAGTTAAAAGTTATTAACTTTTAACTAATTATTACCCAATCCTGTTAATAATAATTAATAATAAATATTTTTGTATAAAATATTTATACCTATTAAAATTCTTGTATATTCTTCGCACAATTGATTGAACAGAAGCAAGTGATATATTATTATGATAATAAATGTGGATCTTGAAGTTAAACAATTTATAATGTTTATATTGTTTTGTAACAGGTATAATTCGTTCATATGAATGAGTATGGCTCATCGAGTTCTTCGAAGGTATCCTAGAACGATGGTGAACCGTTTCCAGGAGGTAGCACAGAAATTTGAGTATCTACTGGTGATGGACTTTGAAGCTACGTGTGATAAACATGGAGAGTGTAAACCACAGGAAATCATAGAATTCCCATGTATAGCATTGTCCACCTGCGATTGGAAGGCCAAGGATACGTTTCACGCCTACATCAAACCTAGAATACATCCTACGCTAACACAATTCTGTACGGAATTGACTGGAATCATGCAGGAGACTGTGGATAATCAGCCCTGTTTCCCGGATGTATTCTCGAAATTCCACGAATGGTTAAAGGAGGGAGGATACTTCGACGAAGTCGATAAAAGTTCATTTGTAACGTGTGGTAATTGGGACTTGAAAATAATGTTACCGAGTCAATGTAATTTGGACAACATTACATTACCCAACGAATTCAAACAGTGGATAGAATTGAAGCACACGTTTTGCGAATCTACCGGATTTTATCCGAGAAGCTTGAAAGACATGCTTGTGCGATTAAATGTGCCATTCCAAGGGCGTTTACATTCGGGCATTGACGATGTGAAAAATATGGTTTCCATAATACAAGCTTTAAAAGAAAAATATAACACGCAATTTAAATTTACTTCGTCGTTGACAAGTTCCGCGCTAAGTTTTAACAATCCTGAAAGGAGAACGAGAACAATATAAAATAATGACGCATAGTTCGTTAAAAATTGGTATTACATTGATAAAAAATATCGCTCTTGTATATAAAATTCATTAATTACAATAATTATAAATAAATATTCTGATTATAAAATTGTGCATCTAATTTACTGTCGTTTTACGACTTTAATGAACACTTCCTGTTTGTTGTTCTCTGTAAAAATCTCAAGTAAAGCCTGCATATTACGTTCTATCCTTTGCGAACATTGTATCTTCAAGGGGAAGTTTTTTTTGCTCTGTAACATTCCTACTGCGGGAATGACACGGATATAATTCGAATTTGACACATTGGTTTGGAATGGCTCGTCTCTTTTTAATAAACTAAAAATCGTCACAGTTGCCTCGTTCTGTAGCGGAGGATTGAGAACGACGGTGGACGGAGTTACTGTGAATTGTTCCGGTAATCTGGAATGCTGAGTTTCATGCTCCGCCATAGTTCTAAAATAATTATAAAATCATAGCGATAAAATATATTAAGAAATTTCTCTAAGCTAATGTATTACCAAAAACTATCTATTTGATATTTTACAACAATAATATGCTAAAAAATTAGACATACAAATAAAAAAAAAAAAAAAAGATCTCTTACTGAGAAGCGAAAAAACTTGCTCCACCCGCTTCGTCTACATGGGTAATTTCACTTAAAGAATGATACATCTGCGATTCATCAGCATCATAATGAAGTGGCAAAGTATCGTCAGTACACGCTTCCACAGTAAGCATTATTTCATATTGATGAACTCCGGTGCAAAGATCATTTAGGTTTTGCTGTTTAAAAATTAATTATTATTATTTGTTTTAAATATTATTTTTCATTTATACATAAATAATAATGAAAAACACATAAAAAGCTACTTACAACGGAATCACGAATCGAAAATAAACCAGGAATTAGTTGCTCCCCAGGGAAAGGTTTACATATAGGATGAACGATATTTTTGAATGCCTCGTTTTCATTTTCGGATTCTTTAATTTTATTATACAATCTGGGAAAAAAGAAATGTTTTTGTCAATAATAAAAATGAATGCTGACAAAGTCCAATTTTGTATAGATACATTCAGTCATCTTTTACCTGCGTATTCTCCAGCGGGTTGGTTCATCCCCCCAAGTAATGTTTATCGTTGCAACCTGTGACACTTCTGAACGTTGTAATCTCGCGAAATCTTCTTTCTTGGGAGAGAATTCTATTTTAACTCGTCGAGTCTCTTTAGGATTGAGAATCAATTCTTTGGGATTTATATGCCAATTAGAATCCATTGTTGGAGAAATAACTAAAATATATAATATATATATGTATTTATATAAATTTAAAATATATATATATATAGTTTATCAAAATAGAACTAATTTGAAACCTTTTGGAATAACTTTGATTTTAGCAAATGAATGTAAGTCCCCAGTATTTTGTAGTGTAATCTCTGTGGTCAAGACTGTTGTTCCAGAATACAAAGAACCAAATGATAATCCCATCTTTCCACTCACATCTTTAAATATATTTAAAATTTTTATCTTGCTATATCCACCGTATCCATACAAAGGTATCTGTAACAATTTAAATTATTTAACAAATCTTTTTTAAGTTTGTTAAAATATTTAATAACTATTATACGCACTCGTTTGCATTGCTGAGAATCACTGTCATCTCTTATATAATGTTTGATAGTGATTTTTCCAGTTACTGGACCTGTATGATACGGACTAAAGATAACAGCTAGTGTTTTAAGTTCTTGACGGTGCATTGCCAATACCATGCTTGTAGTGGAAGTCTGTCTATCTCCAAGAAACTATAACATAAATACTTGCATTGATAAAAGCTTCAATCATAATTTTCTTTCTACATGTAGTAATGTACCTTAAAACTATTCTTGTCATCCCATATGTCTATCTGAATTTTAATCTTATTCTCACTCGTGTTACGGATTGTAAATTCCTTAGTTTCATTCTTCCCTGTTTTTACACTATTCCATACTAGAGCAGATTGTGTCGATTTGATCGGAATTGTATTCCCTGCTACAGCTAAACTAGATACTGTACTGATTGGTGAATTTCTATCGCAAAGTCCAGATCTACAAATTTAAATTGTTATAGATTACTTTTTGTAATAATTACACATATATATATAAATATAAACTGACCTATTAGAAGTTACACTTTGTGGTGATATTGCTGGACTTAAAGATACAACATTACTGGGTGTTTGGCAACGTAAATAGTTTTCTGATTCCAGTTTTTGTTCAGTATTTATGATGTAAAAATAAACATTGTTGTCGGCGACTAATTTCACCTTTGCACAACTGCACAGAAAAACAATAAATTATAATGATAGAATAAGTAAAAAGAAATAAAATAATTATATATAAATATTTATATATATTTAGTATTATAATTTATATATTGATAACTGAAATCATCACCTGTTATTATCTAGAGAGTTAGCTGAAACTTGCGGTTTATATAAAATTGAGAATGAATTCCTTTCTTCAACTTGCAAGAATATATCAGCCGGTTCTATAGAAAAATTATGTGCTGAGTTTGGATATCCTTCAATAGACACAATAGTGGCGGATACGTGCGTCGCCACATTCCCCGTATTAATGATATGTAGCAACTTGCTCTGCTGTCTTGGAACGATTATTGGTACCTCTGTATCAACGATTTGAATCTTACAGGTACCTTTTTGTGCATAAAGAGGCACTTCTTTCTGGAATAATATATTGCCATCACTGCATTGTACACGTATAATTAGTTTGCCTTTCCAGTATTGTGATTGGTCCTCTAGAAAATATATTCGACAAAATTTTTACTTATTTTGAACAGTAATACATGTATAAAATTTTGATATGTGCAGACGAAACTTACCTATCAATGTAGATTGTAATTTTCACATTTTATATTAGCTTTAAATTTTTCGTGAGATTTTAGTATTAAATGAGTAATTTCTACATGAGAATCATTTAGCTTTATCGACTTATCAAAAATACCATCAATGTTAAATATTTTCGGTCCATCCTATAATAATTAAGAACATAATAATCAATTTTTGATATACTGTTCCAACTACATATCTGGGTATGTATATGTGTGTGTGTGTGTGTGTGTATATTTTTTTTATTATAATAAAATCTCACATGTAATATAAAAAGCTTAATAGGCACATCAATACTGTTTTTATTGTGAAATATTATAGGTAGAATTTTTGTCGAATTTATCGTAATATATTGAAAATCCAGTTCCAGTTTAGGAGAGTCGCATATAATATCTAGATTAAGGTGTTCTGGATTAACACAAATCATGTGCTTCAAACACCATTTTGATTTTGCCACCATATCCGATAAGATTATATTTAATCCTACAAATATTTGTTTACACATTTGTGTTACTTTCACTTTGATCTATAATGAATAATAAAATAATTATCAATAGATAGAAGATTTTTATCTATTTAATTATTATTAAAATATACCATTGTAGAATGCGTCCCATTAGGTTCTATTAAATGTTCATATTCAGGTATATTTAATTCAATACTTTGCATATCTCCATGCACATCGTTTAATTCTAAAGAATATGTAATCCATTTATCTCCATCATTTCGAAGTTCAATATTAACTTCACTTGTTATACCAATGATGCAATTGCACAATCGTTCTGTATTTTTTCCAATAACAACACCTAAAAAACAAAAATTGTCATACATCATATTTTTATTAGAGAAGAAAATTAGTTTTATAATTAAATAAATTATACTGTTTAAATTAGGTTGCATTTCTGCACTTATATTTATAGAGAGCGATGGATCCATTATATTATTATAAGAAATATCATTTTCTATCATTTTTTTTCTTTGTATATTTAAATCATTGTAGCTTTCATCATAATTTTTTAAATCCTTTTTGGATAATACGTGAGATAATAACATAAATTTTTCATTGGACAATTTGGAATTTTGTAAAATCAATGTAGCATCTGATGCTTCTATTCGTTAAAAAAATTTTAAGTTTTATATTTTTAGTAGTATATATTTTAATAGTAATACATATGAAGATATAATTAAATCATATATATGTATGTATGTATGTGTGTTAAAATATTGTAATATAAAGGCGATAAAAAATATTTAAAATATACATTTCTAAAATATAACATGTGGAAGAAAAAAATCTGAATTTACAAACCTGCATTTTGATTAAACGAACAAGTCGCATTCTTATTTTCTTCCTTTTTTACTATTTTTCCTTCATATGCATTTGTTAAAGATTCAACTGTATTCATATTTTTATTTGAAGCAAATGACAACATTCTCGAACATTCTTGTTTCACACTAATAGGTTCATTTTTAACAGTTTCACTTGTCATTTCATTTTTAGTTGTACAATTAGTTCTACTATCCAGTGATAATTTTGTTGAAAGATTTTCTAGAACATCTTCATCAAATTTGTTGGAATTCCCAGTAGTTGTTGCTAGCATAGACTTTCTATCGGAAGGCAATGCATAAATTTCTTGTGTTATATCGTTTTTCTTTACTGGACTATTTTTTTTCTTCTGTGCTAGTAAAATCTGATCAACTAATCGTCGTGGAGTGCCACTATTAACATTTTGTAAAGTATTAAGAATAGTGCTTAAACTTATAAGACTACGTTCATCTATGTCTCTTGTTGCATTTGAAACGAATGTTTCCTCCTTTGATTCCGTTGATAATGTTGCTGCAATTTTGTTTTGTGTATGATGTATCTGTATTCAGAAAAAAATTAATATATATAATATATATAATGTTGTGTTATACCATCTGTGAAGTTAATTGACTCAATTAATGGTTCTAAATTTCCCCTTTTTGTGGAAGTTTCTGAAGTAAGTTCAAAATTTGGTCTTACTTGTTCATTATCCAACATTCCTATATCAGCAGATTTACGTTCAAAGTATTGGCCGATAGATAATTTCTCTCCAACACGAGATCTGTGATTTTAAATATTATTTTATATATTTTATTTATATATATATTTTAGCAAAAATTAAATGAAATAATTATATAACAAACATACTCTGATGTTAAATCTAAATGTCCCATGATACCAGAAAAAGAAGAAAGATTTAATTTCTGCTTTTCTGTATTCATGACAGGCATACAAAATGTACGATCTTGTTGCCAATGAGCTTCATCAACTGATAATTGTTCAGCTATTTTCGACCCTGATAGAAATTCTTCGTTATTGAGTTGTGCTATCATTTCATTATTGGCTTGTGCCATTATATCCTCCATACTGAAGTTAATGCCATTGAAAGTTTTACTTAAAACAGATTGTTTTTTAACACTATTATCGTCATCAGACGGCGATGAACGCGCCGTTATTTCATTAGGATCAAAAGTAACCTGAAATTTATCTCTTAAAATATTTTGACTTTGAAATAAAATTCTAAATTATGGATACTTACATTAGTCCCCATGACTTCATTTGTCAAACGATTAATATTGGACTCATGATTTGATTCAAGTATACCAACCTCATTTGGCAAATTAAAATTTGAAACAGCTAAGTTGCTTGTTAAATTTTGCACATTGGCATTATTTTCTTTATTTGTTTCTAAAATAATTATGCATAATTTTGCAATTATTATCCATAATAAAATTTGTATAAATAAAGAGTGATGACAAATTTCGCCCATTTTTGGGACCTCGAATTTCAAACTTTTTCATGGCAAATACTATATAATATAATACTATATAATGAGACATTAATCCCAATAAAATTTCAAGATGAGCATAGGCATAGTTTCAGAGATACAAGGGGGTGGAAGTGATTTGATTTCTAGTCAGGGTGTATGAGAAACTATCACTTTCACTTCTTTATATCTCCAGAACTGTGCCTTGAAGTTTCTCTGGAATTAATGTCTCATATTTGGCATAAAAAGTTTGATATTTGTGGTCCCAAAATTTGACTCTATAAAATATGGAGGAAAAACAGGTCTTTTTGCCATCACTCTTTTCAAATATTTGCCTTTTCCTATTTACCTGTAGTTAGAAAAGAGTTTCTAGTATCACTGCATCTCTGAACAAGTTTTCTGGCACGTTCAAGCGTTGCATCTGTATGTGGATAATTCAATTTCGGCTCACTCTCTATTGTACTCATATTTGTGCGAACTGTCAACAATATCATTGCAACATTACTCATATATATATTTTAAAGATAATAACAATGGCTTAATTTTAAAATTGATTGCTTAATAGTTTATGGATTTGATTTCAATCTTTTATGCTCATAAGGAAGCTTAGAGCAAAAGAAAAAGATTTAAGAAATATAAAAATGAAAAGACATCTAGATATAAGTGTATCGAGTAATGAAAGATCTTTGATTGAAGATGCTAAGCATCAATATTCTTTTTATTATAAAAAAAAATTAATTTTAAAGGTTTTAGAATAAAATCATGTACACATACGTGATATATCATGCAAGAGACCTAACGATGACTCCTTTTCATTCTGTGCCACTTCCTCGTATGTTATATTTTGTTCATCCTGTGTTTTGTTCATGCTGTGCTTATCGTTAAATCTATTATCCAATCTGAAATGAAATATATATCTTTAAAATTAATTAAGTTCAATAATGCTTAAGATTAACTAGAATTCATGTAATTTTTTCAACATGATACCAAAAAGAAAGAGAAAAACATGGACAATCAATGTCAATCAAATGTCAGTCGAACAGATCAGTTTGACAGATTTCGATAAAATTCGCCAAAAAAAAAAAGGAAAAATTTCCAAGACTACAGGAAAACTCACGGGCTCCTTCTGCGAACGGTGGACGACGCCTGCGGCTGAGGTGTGTTTAGCAGCGTGTCGCTCAACCCGCCGAAGCCTTTTATCGGCGTGAACATCGTCGAGTCCTTTGTTGTCTCCTCGCGCAGCGAAGTATTCAACGAGAAAGGCTGGCCAAACGAACGGGTCAGCGATCCTTCACATCACGTTCGCGCGTCTCCTCGAGCAATTTCGCGCCCGGGAGGTTAAACGGCACCGGTCGAATCGATTCCCAGCGGTTCAAATTTGAAAAATCGCGGATGTCACCGACGATTGGACACGCGCCCCTCGAAGACCGCGACGCGTTTGACGTGACGTGACGCAACGCTAGTGACAGGAACAAGCGAGGAGCGGCGAAAACAAATAAACACAAATAGTGGACGAATATGTATATATATGGCACTGGGTCGCGAAAAACATCGGATACACGTTCGTTATTTTCCTGTCCTAAATTTCTCGTCAGACGAAAGAATAATAAATAAATCCATCCTGCAAAAAAAGTTTGTAATCCGGTTTATCTTACGATAAGAACTGCAAATCAAGTACCGAAAAATGCTTTGTTGGGCACTGTAAGTATATTTAATTTTTCGATCAATTAATTTATTTGAAAGAGAAAAGAAAGAGAAACATTAATATTCTGAACTGGATATTTAAATGTTTTCGCACACTTTTGTAATTTTAAAAAGAAAATGAGTAAAATATATCGATTGAAATTTATCCTTTTAATATGTTAATCGAAATGTTGTTTGATTGTAGATTTTGAATTTTTATTCTCTAAAATTTATTTACAGTATTTTTTGATCAAGTATTTTTGCTATAAAAAAGCAACAATTTTTAAAAAAATTTTTTTCCTTCTTACAATACGTCATTAAACTTTTATTATAATTGTGATAATTATTAAATTATCAAGCTGTCAAAATTTCGTTAATTTTTTATCTACACATGATAAATATGCTCTAAGAATGACTAAATATCCCTAGAGTAAATATCCCTGGAGAATTTGAGAGAATCATTTCCTTTTTATCTTATCAGAGAGGTTACTTTCATAATGACGTAAATGTAATTTAGATACTTGCTGTCCTTGAATATCATTATTGAAATATGTTAGTGACGACAATTTTCTCTTCGAGAAAAGAGAAAAGAAAATATATTATTGCACGACTTCGTCATTGTATAGTAAATATTTTTTAATAATATGTTTATTTAGATCTATTGTATATTTTTTTAGAAATTTTTTTTGTGCACAAAAATAAGAAAATGATAATTATTTTTGCATTATATATTTCTAACATAAAGCTGATGATAAAGCTATAATATGTTATTACTTCACAAAACATAATTTATTTTTTTATATTTGATATTGTAATTATATATTACTATATAATTGAAAATATAATAGATTTAATTGTTTCACAATCTTTAAACTTTATATTGTCTATTCATATGTGTTAATAATACAGAATAAAATGTTTTCTATATGTTAACATTTTCCCTTCAAACTATTATAAATTACTGTCTTTTGATTTTATATATATATAATATTTTTATTTTATTATTATACTTACAGATATAAATGGTAAATGATGATGGAATATCTTGATAAAAATAATGAAACATCTAAAGGTGCAAGAATGAAGCAGGATAAACAACATGAAATTTCAGAAAACAAAAATGTAACAAAGACTGGCTTAGATATATATACATCTCGAGTAGACCACAATGCAACTGAGGATAATCTGGAAAGGAAAATATTATCATTGAAACATTTATTAGAAAAAGACCCAAAAGCTGCTGATTTAAAATGGTCTCTTTTTGTGGCAGCATCCAATACTTACCGTTATGACAGTTGTTTAAAGCCATTTCCACCTATGTACATTAAGAACGAGTACAAAGACATTGAAGCTTTGGTACATTAAAAATTCAATATCAAATATTTATATATAACATGCATATTATTTACAATTTTATTGTCTGATGTCATTTTCTTTTTTCCAGAGAAAAGCCATAGAATCAGTTCCTCCTTTATCCTTGATATGCAAAGAACTTAATGAAGCTGGTGCATATGACAATTATGGTGAAATAATAGAATTATTATATTGGGTATTGCTACGATTCAGAGATCCACACATCAAAAGTGTGCAAAAAGAATGTGTAAGTTTTCGTGTTATTATTTATGACAAAAAAATTTCAAGAAGAACATGTTATAGTGTATAGTGCAAGATTTTAGATAAATTCCTATATTTTAGTATGATTCAATATTGAAGAAAGTGCCATTGGAGGTACCAGTTACACCTCCAAATCTTATATTTCAAGTGGCAAGTGCAAAACAATCTGCAACAGAAGAGAAATGGAAATCAAGTGCTAGAGATCATTCAACATTTTATGCTTATCATGGCAGTCGTTTAGAAAATTTTCATTCCATCGTGCATTATGGTCTACAACAAAATATGTGCAAAGTATAGTAAATGCTGATTATTGAATTAGAATAATTTTTCTTGTCTTACAAATATCTTTTCTCTATTATGAAAATTATATGAAATTGAAAGGCATTTTTTAAAATGTTTTTTTTTAGAGATCACAATTCGGCCAAGGAATTTATCTTTCGAGCGAATTAGGAGTGAGTTTACCCTATAGTCCTGTGGGTTATGGATGGGGAGGCAGTCTTCTAGGAAGTGAGTTAAGTTGTATAGCTCTCTGTGAGCTTATCAATCATCCTGATATAAAGAGAGGAGATTCAAGTAAGTGTATACTGTGGATGGCTGAGTGTATCAAAGTTTAAAAGGCAAATTGCTGCAATAATATTACATTTTAGGAGATAGTGCACGAAATACATTGAGTGATTCAATTGGTGGAAGAATACCAGACAAGTATTTTGTAGTGACAAATAGTGATTTAATAAGGATACGCTATCTGCTTGTCTACATCCAAGATCTTCATATAACTAGGTAAACTATATATAAGTATATAAAACAGAACAGTATAGTTATAAACTTTATTTAATTAAATAAACATTGCTATAAATATTTTTCAGAACTGCTGATAATTCAGGATTACTTGTATGGTTCAAACAACACAAATTATTAACGTTTGTGCTCGGCTACGTCGTATTATTGGCTTCGGTTGGATTAACACAGAATAAACAAGTAGAGAAATATTATAGGCTATTTATCCAGAAAGCAGGATTCGAATAAAACGACGAAAACACAAGCATCGCAACAAATTGAATTTTTGAAATTGGAGAAAGATTATAAGTATCATATTCTCATAAAATTAGGCTTGTGCCAAGATCTTTAATACTAAAAAAGACTAGAAAACAATATTTTTTATCTTTATATCAAATAGACAAAAAAATATACAGAAAGTGTTTTGACAGTTTTGTATCAAGGTTTTAGTTACAATGAATTCGGCTATTGGTGCATATATGAACAACATTATCTTTATATATATACAATTTTTAGAATACAAATATTAACTGAGTAAATATTTTATATCATATAAAAATTTACATATACGCACACATACATACATATATATATATATATATATATATTTTATATTTTTCTTATTGAACATTTCTAAGTTTTTAGTATCGTGAAAGTATAATAGGAAAGTTTTCAGTGACTAAATAATCATCTTCAAATAAAATGATAAGATTTACCTCAAATTCTGAAAAAGTATTGCAAATAAATTTACGTAGTTTACATTTTTTAATTAAATAAAATAGATGCAACAAAATATTCTTACCAACTTTAAAATTGCTTGTGTTCAAAGTAGGACATGTAAATAACCTTGGAAATATCATGTAAATTGGAATAGCAAGATTTGGGCAAGGATTGCCTTCGCCGATTTGTATATTTTGTATCTCTGTCGCTGCAAAATACAGCCTCATAAATTTTTGCCACAATTTATCAATTTTTGTATGGATTAATTCTTACCATCCCTAGAGTATCCTTCTGCACATCCACAAGTCTCTACTCTCACTAATTGCAATTCTATGGACTTTATAATAGCTTCACAGTGTTCAATCACTACCTACAAGTACAGATAATAAAAATATAACATTACAAAAAATATGCAAAATAAAAGAAATTATCTATACATACTTCTCCTGTCAAAGGTTCAGAGAGCTTGCAATACAGAGAGTTTAATCTTCCCGAAATACAAAATCTTGGTACATTAGGTCTATCCCTAGTATTTTGCAGAGACTCTGGCATTATTTTGAAGAACACAATTTTGCTGTGTTCTTTATCTACTTTGCTATTGGGTTTATCTTCCACTATAAACTCCAATGACTTGCTCACATCTTTTGCAAGAAAATTTCTTTTTATATCACAACGTATCAAGTACTGTATATTTACAAAAACACCATGGTATGTTTCGTAAAGAGATTTATTTCCTCTTGGCTTTAATGGTAATTCAAATGGTATTTCTGTTTTGCCACTTGGAAACTTCCCAGATGGAGCAACGTCTAATGTATATTGTACTAATTGTATTGGCTAGAAAAATAATTAAATGTTTTTAACTTTATTAGATTGATATCTAAAAAACAAATATAAATAAATTGACTGTGTAAACTGTAAAAAATTGCTTTAATTCGAGATTCATAAAACATTAATTGTGAAATTAAGCAATAAACTCAGAAGAAATTTATTCATTATAAAAAAAGATATGTACTAACCTTAACTGAATTATAAAATGCTTCGAATATACCGACATTTTTTGAGCTAAGCTGCAAATTTACCGAGCCTTCCATTGTGAGAAATATGCCATCGTGCTTCACGTCCGAATTACTCTTTAATAATATCAGACCAGCAACCACTTCCTACAACATAACCTTAACTTCAGATCTGAATATTGAGTAAAGAAGAAAGAATACTCCCAATAATCCGATAAACAACTAACCCCTTCGTAATATATTTTGCTCGCACGTTTTAATTTGATATCTATATTGATAGACATAACTTTTCGAATAATTATATGACACTTGAGTTTCTTCGAATATCTATAACACTTGACAGCTGTCAAAATAAACCGGCTGATCATCTGTCAATGCAGCCGCGTGTACTAACGCGCCCCCTGACAAAGTAGATGTAAACTACGTCGTGACGCTCGGTAAAAAGTACGGTAAATGGTTCAATTCCGTGATATGGTTCATGTCCGAACTATTTTATGACGTTGACTTTGAGCAATATATCAAAAATTATATACATAATTTTTTAATTTACTTTTTATTAAAATATTTTGTTTTTAATTCGCCTTTATCGAAATTTAAATGCGCACATGATTATTTAAATACGCATGAAATAGAGAAGCGAAATTTATTTTTTTTATTATTTATTTTTTGCAATAACATTTAACGATAAGTTCATGTATTCAAGCAATAACTGTCACCTGTCACAATCAGTTGAGTATGACAGCTATTTTGTCACAATCAGCTGATTATAAAACAGCTGTTTTGTAACAAAAAAATTTGACAAATATTATATTGAATATTATAAAATATCTCGCCCAGATGAAAAAATAATGCATACATATCTATACAGATATTAAATCGTATAGAAATAATTATATAGTATATTTTAATAACATATCGCAATTGTGTTTATAAAAATGAAATATATAATTATAAAATAAAATTGCGTGATGACTTTTTTCATATATATATATATATATATATAGATTATCTTTATTCTTATAAATGTGATATAAATCTCTATGTGCGCTGTTTTAATTATTTTCCTTTGTGTTTATTTATTATATCTAATATTGCATACAATTATATTTTTATGCTTTTTATTACAAAAATCTGTCTATTGTTTATTATTCATTTTATTTATTTACGAGTTTTCTGCAAACAGATCAAAGAGACCATAGATTTATATATATATATATAGAGGTATATTTATATTATATTTTTTGTGTTGTGTTTTCGATCTACAATCCACGGTTTCTATTAGTCTATGATTCAGCACACGATCGACCAATCGGGAAATCGGATTTTGCTGCGCGCGCAGCTGCAATTCTGCGATATTTCAACTTCACCCCTCGGACCCCGGAGGCGCCACCAAACGAACAAATTCAAATCGAGGGAAGACGTTACTTGATGAGGCCGAGTTTGTCTGACCTGTGTTACTTTTCGGAGGAAGCAGCGATACATATTATTTTGGCTTCGCGAGAATAGCATTTTTTTTCTGCGAAAGTGATTGACAATGGCGACGAGAAATCGGACCGCGGTTACGGTGAGTCAATAATTTATGTATAACAATCGAAGAAAATATTTCTCCTCTAATAATGGAGGTCATCCATAAAAACCCTTTTAAATACCCTCGTTCTTTTAAACGTGCTTCGCCACGTTTTCGATGAATTATTATTTGCTCTAATAACGATATCCTTGGATTTTTCCGAAACATAAAGTATTATTATAAACGTAGTCTAATTATGTTATTTTTTTACAAATTATTTTTAGGGTATTTTCTTCTTTTTTCTGCAGACTTAATTGTCCGCGAAAGAGATTACACAGAACTTTTACGAACAAAGAACCTTAAATTGAAGCTATTCTGTCAAAATATATTCTATCGTTTCATCAGAAATCTTATTTTTATAAAAATATATAAATAGTTTTTACAAATGTGAACTTAAATAATTATTTTCTTCCTCGTGAATTTCACTCTTCTCTCTGTGGAAAACGATGCTTTTGCCATGTGTATGATATTGATTTAAATAAAAATGTTGCATTAAAAATGAAAAAATATATATATGTATATATATTTACACGGAAATATATACGTTATAACAATTTTCAGAATATTATATATATTTTAAATACGTAAATTTTCTCTGAATTTTTCTTCTCTTTGTGTTGCAGATAAACCATGCAAATCAGGAGAATGTTAAAAATGTAAAATCAATTCATTTACCAGTGAATGCAAAAAGAGCGGCACTAGGAGAAATAAGTAATAGAGTTAATACATTGAGAGGTGCACAGCCTATAGATAGGACTAGCTTACTGCAGAAGGATAAGAAAGTGGTAATATCAAAGAAACATGCTGTGAAACCAAATGTGTCTGAAAAGCCAGTGCAAGTTGTACAGCCGGTTATTTCTGTCACGGCTAAAGCAGATAATGTGTCTAATGCAGCCACCATCTCAGCGATTCCTGTTAGTCAGAAAAAGAAAGGGATACCATCGTTTCGACAGACTTATTGAAGTCTGAAGATATTGACGAACAAGATAAGGGAAATCCTGTTTTAGTTTCCATCTATACTAATGAAATACATGAGTATTTAAGGACATTAGAAAAAAAGACCCCTATTATAAAAGGATTTCTAACGGGCCAGGAAGTTACACCCAAGATGAGGAGTGTTCTGGTAGATTGGTTAATCGAAGTACATCAACAATTTCGATTAATGCAAGAAACATTGTATCTCACAGTTGCAATTATTGATCGTTTTTTACAGGTAAGTTTAACGCAGTGCGACAACATAGCACATCTTTTTAGTGTAAAAGTTTAAATGTTTTTCAAACTTTTATATATTATATATCTGTATGTACTTTATTGTTGCAGTCTGACAAAACTATAGACAGAAAGAAACTGCAGCTGGTAGGTGTAGCAGCCATGTTTATCGCTAGCAAATATGAAGAAATGTATTCGCCGGATATAAGTGACTTTGTATACATCACAGACCAGGCATATACAAAGTTAGATATATTGGAAATGGAAATGCGCATAGTGAAAATTCTAGAGTATTCATTCGGCCGACCATTACCGCTGCATTTTCTTCGAAGATACAGCAAAGCTGGGAAGGTACATACAAATGTATTTGTTGAAATATTTAAGCTTCCAGGACTTCATTTGCATTATTAAAAATTATATATTATTGTAGATGTAGCACAATTTTTTAAATCTAAATTATTTATTTTAAGGCGCTCCCTATCCATCATACAATGGCCAAGTATTTCCTTGAACAAAGTTTGGTTCACTATGAAATGTGTCACTATTCACCTAGTCTCATCGCTGCAGCAGCATTATATCTAGCATTTTTGTAAGAAATAGCGCATTTTTTTATCGCACTTTTCGAAATATCAATGATTACTAGAGCATAATTATTCTTATAGAATTATTGGTAATGATGAAGACGAAGGCAAAGATATCTGGACAGACACTTTAACATACTACAGCACCTATTCCAAGGATGATGTATTACCTGCAGTGCGTGATATTGCTGTCATGATAATTAATGCAGAAACAAGCAAGTATCAAGCTGTGAGAAAGAAGTACGTTCATGTGAAGCATATGAAAATTAGTATTCGGCCAGAGCTCAAGTCGCCAATTATGGTTTCCATTGCAGCAAGAAGTAATGAAACTGAATTATAATATAGAATAAATTTTTTATATTTGTAACATTATGTTGAGATATATTTTCAATAAGATATTTGTATATCATATATTTTGTATTATGTATCGATGCTTATTATGATGTTATAGTTTCATGAGAGAGAAGAGAGAGACCGAGTCCTTCAAGAGCAAAAAGAAAAAGAATTTTATCACATAGTGATGAATGTTATAGATTTTGATGTACAAATTTTTTATTGAATCTATTGTCAAAGTCACAAAGCGAAAAATGGGACGTATTTAGAGATTATATACAAAAATTTGTTAAGATAAGCATGAAAATTTAGTCAGGTATCACTGACGGACTTTATGTTGGACTGCGATAATTAAACTAGATATAGCAGAAATTAAAATACATCTTTTATAATGAAATATTAAATAAAGCTTTTAATTTTTTTTATTCATAGCTAATTATAAAAATATTTTAATTTTGATATACGTCCTACACACACGTACACGCATGCGCACATACACAAATACTTTTAATATCACCATATAGAAATATATAAGTATTCCAAGACATAAGTACTTCATTTTTTTATGCTTTTATATTCATATTTTCTCAATAATCTGCTAATTAAGTTTTTTACTTGCTATTTTAAAATATAAATTGCATGAAAGTTATGTGCAAAAATCAGAAATTAGAATTTTTGAAGATTTATGAAATTTTTATCAATATGGTGATATAAAGTTTATACTTAATTATATACGTTATATTACTATATATCCTCTATAATATGTATATAAAATAACTATTGTATAAGTATATTTGCTTGAGGGAAGATAAAATTTTATATTGTTAGTTAAGTAATCTAAATTTTAACAATTCTCCAAATTAAGAATGAATGTTTAATATATATACATGACAAAATTTCAAAATCAATATCCAAATGGCCACTATATATATTTAGGCTTTATTAGTTATAAATTATAATATAAAATACTATAACTATACATATATCTTTGTAAATAAATAACTAAATTAATATAACGTATTTGCATTAATTAATTGGAATTACCTTAATTTCTCTTATGCAATAAAATAAAATAAAATCTCCTTTGCACTCATGTATTTTAACATTTTTATAACTCATTGAGCAAACTTTTATTAGAATATTGATATTTTGCTACTGGATAAAATTATTTTGTCAAATGAAAAAAAAATTAAATAAAAAATTTATCGAAGATAATCGCCAATTAAATTAATCACAATTTATCAATTTAATCCAAGTTAGTCTAAAACCTAATCTCTCATTAATGTCAAATTATGACATTAGAAATGTGAATTTTGTTTGCTGAATACATTGAATTATAAGTCATGGTTGAACAAATTCATTGTTCATTTAACATTTAAGTTTATATGCTGAAAAATATTTAAAAAATAAAGGAGAAAAAGAGCGTATATTTGTTTAAAAAATTTTTTTAGAAAATATCTGAAACGCAGGATGTTATATCAGTTTCTGGTGGATGTGTAATGTATCGTTCTGAAAAATAAAAATTAAAAAGAACAAAAACACTTAAGGAATGCAATAGATATCGCTCTAATACTATATTGCATGAGTACTTACCCACTAATTTAATAGGTGCAGTAATTTCTTGTATTTGTGCTGGTGTATAAATTGTCATTTTTTCCTGTTAATAATTAAAAGATATAGAGCATGATTCTCAAAAAGAAAGAATATTCTTATTAATTACTTACCAGCTCGGTTAAACTTGTAGGGGCTGATTTATTCCAAATTTCAGATTTACTACTCTCCACTAATTTGAAAAAGTTATTTATTTTACTGAGGAGCTTCTCCGCGCATTCATCAAATTCGAAGCGTATCAACGTTTGTACAAGTCGAGACCATTCATCTGTAAAATGAAAAATATACATCGTAAATCAAAACACACATATTCGGCGTCTGTTCTAACTAGATGTTCGAAAACAATACAATTATTTATTTATTGTACATACATATATTGTTTATTTGAACAAACCTCTATTTTTATACGTAGTAGTAATAATTTGATAAAGAGCGTGTATTAGACCTAAATCTTCAAACGTACTGCCCTCCTTTAAACTTAAAAGCTTCCTTTCTTGCTTTCTACGATTTTTATTTGATCGATAGCTTCTCCTATAAAAAAAAAAGATATATTCACACATCTCTTACTTTATTAAATTATGGAAATATAACATATAACAGAGAAAAGTGCACCTGGAAGCTGTAGACGTTCGCGATTTTTTACTTGAAACAGAACCTGCGATGCTGCTTGTTTCACTAAGAGAATCTGTAATTTCTTTGCCGAATACCGGTTCGTCACAGATTGATTCACTAAAAGATCGCATTTGTCTCGCGCTTATTTCTGATCTTATCGACGCAAGACGCGACTTATGTCTAAGAAAATCTTCTTTAAAGCTATCCAATTGCAACATTACATGTTCCGCGTGTTCCATTACTCCAGGTTTAATATGTGTCTCTGTAAAAATAATAAACAGTTGAAATATATCATAACATATTTAAATTTTCTATTTTTTAAAATATGTTTTACACAAGTTATTAATTTATTTTAATAAGTTTATACTACTTATGTGTATTAGATATTAATCTACTTGCTCTTATTATTATTACTTACCACACAGATCGAGACGTTGAACATCATGTGCTATTCTTATGGCACGTTTCCAAATTTTTCCCTCACACAATATTGCAACAGCTTCTTCAACGTCGTTTAAGTAATCTTTCAGTATTGTAGCTGCATCCTCATAATTTCGTTCCACCTTTAAGCATTTCACTAGTAGTTCATAAAGTTCACGTGAATCACTAGAACTGAAGAAACCCTTCTAATTATTATATAGTATTATTTTATACACATATTATAAATATATCAATTCTGATAATGACAGAATAATGTGTTTGTGTATATACATAGATTGAATTATATTTTTACCTTAATTTCATTTCTCTCGATACCGCGATTGCGTCCTGCCAACTATCGCCTAATGTACAAAATGCCTTGAAAGCTCTGTCGAGATCGCCACTTCTATAAAACATCATACCGGCTTCTTGATACTTCGTTTTAATTAATAAAAATTCTCCATAAGCTCGAGCAATCCTTTTATGTTCTGTACTACCTATCTTAAACAATTTCAATGCCTTTGAGTATAATTTCTGATGAAGTACTAAATTAAAACACTCTTCAAACTTGGTCGAATCTTTGGATATATGTTCGAGTGCTGATTCATAGCGTTTAAGATGCATATCAATGGAATACTTCATGTAATTTTCACTTAGTTTCTTCAAGCTATTTAAGTATGGAATATATTCTTTGGGATCTTTCGATGATTTGGAGGCCACAAACATTGCCAGTTCGAAGTCATACATGCCTAATGCGATGTCATATAAAATATCTATGTTCACAAAATGTAGCAGATACTTTAGCGCATCCTCGGCAGATGTGGAAGAACGAAATCGCACTGACTTTTGTGAATCCTCGAGTAACTTGACTTGTTTTACTTTAGCAAGTGCTTTTTCTAATCCTTGTTTTTCGTGATTTTTCACCAAGCTCACCAATATCGGTTGTATCAGATTACCCGCGTCATGTCGTCGCTCCATAATATCTCTCAATAATTTACAAACTTTGTTAACTTTAGTCTCGTCACTTCCTGATGTCGTGATCCATCCTACAGGACGACTCGAGTAACAATTCGCGTACATCGTCCTAGTAACGTCTTCGTTTTGCAACTCTGACAAAAACAGACTTAAGGAACCTGAATTCGTGATTTCTTCTACAAACTTTTCTGCGTTATCCATAAACAGTTTCGGATCGTGGTCGTATATTAAATTCAAGTTTATACGTTGTTTCTTCATTATGTGAAACGCTGTCTGATAATTGCAGTTATTGAGATAAGATTTTAATATATGCAACGATAGTGCCCTTGGTTCTATGCATTCCAAGTTTCCTCTAGGCATCTGTAAAATTGTCTTCGAGTCTTGAGATATCGCTGCTATTAAATGAGAATTTTTCTCCACCCGTCTGATATAGATATCTGTAATGATACATAAAAAGTCAGAAAAAGGAATATAATGTGCGTGTACATATATATATTAAAATGAATAAAAATTCACCTGCAAGTGATATTTCGTTACTGCCATTTTCCCAAGGCTTGACAGTCAAGTCGTGTTTACTCAACTGCTGTATACCGCTTTCATTTAATGGAACACAAATCAATGTGTGTTGCTGTGTTGTGAGAAGCAAGAAATCGGAATGTACGTAGAAACTCGTAATATTCTTCGCAATTTCTTTTCCATCAATCGAGAGACAATTTGTGCAAAATAGAGCAATAATAATGTCTTTTAAGTCAATTTTTATAACTTCCACTTTTACAACTTCCACATAATAAAGGTGTCGTTCTCTTAGAATCATATTTTGCGACTCAAGTTTGTTTGCACCTCTGGTATATTTGAATACTTCACCACGATTCATCATTATATAAGCCGCATTTATATCGGATGAAGGAATTATGTTTTCTATAGAATTTTCTACAAAAAAAACTTTCCTATGGAAAAAAATTTAAGTTCATATATCTTTTTATGACGTGCGCGCAATTTTACGTATTTTTTTTTTAAACATAAAATTGAGAAGAAAAAATTACATACTGTATTGCCAAAATATTCTCTTCAGAATTTAATTTAATTATTTTTTTTCCCTTTAGTATTGCATCAAGAGACAAAATGCACAAGAGATTATGTTCATTCGTAGTTATAGAGAATAATATAATATCTTCTGCAAGCCATAATAAATGATGCATGGCATATACACAATTATCAATTCCCATTATACTTAAAGTTGAAAATTCAATATTGTATGACCATAAAACTTCATATTCCGTTATAGAAGAATCCTACAAAAGATAAATTATACATTGTGAGCAAATTCTAAATAAATAAATTTACTTACATTACCATTTCAGGATGATTACCATAATTCGTTTGAAAAACGTCAACTTGTTACTCCATGATACAGTACAAAACATATTACTGTTTATCAAAGATGTTTTATCGTTGTTACTTGGTGCAAAGGCAATAGCATTTACTGGTTCTTGCATCTGTAAAAATTGATGCGCCATTGGCGGTGGAATAATTCCATCTCTGAAACTAGTAACTAGCGTTTTGTTTCCATCAATAACAGCAACCACGGTATTGTCATCTACAGTTTTGCCTCGACTATGATTCACGCACCAATTAAAAGAGCAAAATATAATTTCTTTTAATGTCAAAAGAATTAGTTTTTCATAGTTTTCAGTGCTCCATATTGCATATATCAATGGATTCTCTACAGAAAAAGTGATAGTTTGTTTTAGATACCAGTGACAATTATTCTCTGTATACAACTGTAGTATTGTATTTAATGTTTCGAAAGGTTCGCAAATGATAGCCAAGATGTCTGAATTTGGTGACCAAAGTAGATCTTTCACCTGCAAATTAGTCGATTTTTAAATAAATTTGCAATTATACAAAGCAATTTGGGAATTAATTAGCTAAAATTAAATACCTTTACTTCTCTCGGTGCAAAGGGAAGCGGAAATTCCGCGTATTTAAGACCGTTTTTCTCAAATAGTGCAACCACATGTTTATTGACTAATCTTTGAGTTGTGGCAATTAGGTTTCCTAATGGTTGCCAAGCTAAACATTCTTCCAATCCGTTAGTTGGTTCGCAGGTATAATATAAAGTACCCTTTCGATCAAATACTTTAAACTGTCGAATTGTCGATAAGTCATTCAGGAAGCTGACGGCAAATAAAGCACCGTCTTCGCGCCAAGTGATTCGAGGACGACAATCATCAAATTCGTTTGAACTTAGTTGTTCTTGTTTAACTTTGGCTGCTGCTTTCCCTGCCAAACCATGAAACTGAGTCTCTTTTTTGCCCCAACCAACAGTAACAAACTGTTTTTCTCCAAAGTCTTCCGAGTATAAATTCACCTACAATAGCACATGTTATAATTATTTATTTGATAATTATTATTTAATTATTAAAATTATATAATAATTGTATAAATATACAATTGATGCCTATAATTAATATAATTTTGTAATAATAAAACAATTATGTGCATTATATAATTGTATATTTGTACAATAAGTCAAATTTACTATTTATTTTGCAGATACATAATACGTTACCTCTGATATTATATCAAAATCAGACACCATAGCGACATACAAAATTCCGTCAACCGTTACAGCTGTAATGATCTCATTATCTGGACTAAGTTTCATACATTCTAGATCGGCAGTACACATAATCATCTCTTGTTCGAAATGTTCAAAAGAAAGTTTATCTGTTGTATTCAATTTGACAATAACACCAGATTCATATGCGCAATACATCTCCTGCTTTGTGACACAATACTCAAATCCAACAACCTTGCAATTTTCATCTCCACAAATATCAGCAACAATGCTACTATCAACATCTTCATTTCTATCATCCAGAGTCGATATCCTATAGAGTCGTTGATTGTCAAATAAAATGTATAATTCATTATTCGAATTGAGCACACAATGTACAGGTTGCAAAGGTCGAAAATCGTATCCCACAGCAATATCTTTCAAACGTTCGACATTTCGACGTCGTATTCCATGAACCGCCAAGTTCTTCATGATTTTCGATATCGTCGCACGTGTACTTCTTTATCTTCAATCTAAAAATAGAAGCCGCATTTCATTAACAATTTAATTCAACGCGCAAAAATTATAGAGAAATACGAGAGATACATTTTACGAGATACGAAATACATCTACAATCCAATATAATTCCGAATACACAATTTTATTATATATTTTACATTATAAAGATTAAAACCAACCTCATGAACTCAAGTTCCCTCATTTCAACCGCACTTTCATGCACAACCAAAGTGCAGGAAGTTCAGCCGCGAGAGTTCAGCAGCTCTGCAGGCGAGTCCGCACCGCGGGTGACGTCATCGCCGGTAGTTCGCGTTTCTCCCGCCAGGCGGCGCTGCGGTCGCTCCGCAGCCTTCTCGCGTCCACGTCGCGACCCTACAGTCCCTCGTGACTTCATGCTCTTCGGCGGTGTCGGCGACGACGGTGTCTCCGGACGATCGACGAATGAGGGGATAATAAAACGGACGGCGAAGAGGTGGTGGATCACGTTCCGTTCTGTGCGTCGAACTTTTAATTAACACGCGCGCGAGTGGTAAGTGCGAGCCGGAGTGACAGATTTATTAATAAAAATCCGAAAGAGAGAGAGAAGGAGAGAGGACTGACTGACTGACAGACGGACGGACGGGCGATCAGCAGCGCCATCGGCAGCGCGATAAAAGATGAAGCGGCTGTGAAGGGGCCAACCACCGCGATACATCGTTCACGCCGCGGGTGGAAATTCAATTAATCCGCTCCCCACCCTCCCCCCTTCGATCGTCTATCCCCCGTGGATCCCACCGGCCGGTTTGACCCTCCTCCAGGAGTCGCCGCCGACGACGACGACGTTGGAGGACGAAGGATCGGCCCTTAGGAGACGCCGCGGGGAGAACTGTCAGACGGGCGAGAATTCTGCGGATTTGCGGAGAAAAAAAAAAATATATATATATATATATATATATATATATATATATATATATATACACATTATATCGTACGTATACGTGTCGGTCCGTGCGCTGTCAATGGTGCGTCCTGCGTCGCCGATAACGACGAGAATTCCCTCTCTCCCTGGATGGTCTCTTTGTTTATGCGCGTGGTTTTCGAGATGAAAGAATTTTGTTGAAGGATCTTCAGAAATCACGAGATTATTCTCTCCCCCTCCCTACGTTGAAGAACAGACCTATCTGCGTTTACACTTTCGACATTTGGACCCGCACGCATATTTTTGCTTACGCGCGAAGCTGCGCGCTCGCAACAAACACGTACGAGACGTATTTATGTGCGTGTGCGTGTCTGTACGAGTGTGTACGTGCGGTCCTCTCGATGCGGCAAGCTGTCATCGACGCTGTCAATTCGCAGCCGATCGCCCATTCGTCCGTCCCGAACGAACGAGTGTTTGAAAAGAAAAGAAAAAAGATTATTGATTATCTCTCCGTCTCTCTCTCCGATATAAGCCAAGATATCCGGATATACGGTTTGTAGATCGCGGTGCGAATAAACGTCCGCACGGCGCGGCATTGTGTTTTGTGTAGAAAGGAAAGGTGGGAGAGACGGAGAGAGAGAGAGAAAATTTTTGGTGTGGTATGCAAGAGATGCTGACGATGTTGCTCGAGACAATTTTTTTTTTACGTCAACACGTCTATTCTCGTTTGTAATTTAGCATGAGAATGATTTATTTTGTAACGAGAAACAAAATTATATTTGTTAATGCGGCTATTCATTTCGGAGCAGATGATAAATATGTTATTGTAAAATATGTGCATAATATAAATTCTTTGTTATTAATGAATTGAAATTTTGTATTGCAAATTATATCAGACAAGTGCTTTGAGTTATCGTAAAATATTGAAACATTATTAATGGAAACAATTTTCTTTAGAAAATGATATAATACATCATTTTATTGTTAATAATTTTTTGAATTTAAAAGAGATGCGTAGAGAAATCAAAGAATTTTTTTCACGTAAAACTTTAAGAGTGAGAAGGATGACAAAGTACAAGTTGATTTCAAGATAAATTTTTTCTCAGGATTTTAATTAAAAACTTATCAAAATATTTTGTGTATTTTGTACACCTTGTGTCTGTGCAAAATTAATGTTTAATAAATTTGCATTTTTTTCCTTTACAGATCTTTGCATGAACAATGGCAGTGTTACCACGGAGGATCATTAAAGAAACTCAAAGATTAATGCAAGAACCAGTTCCTGGTATTAGTGCTGTACCAGATGATACAAATGCTAGGTATTTTCATGTAATAGTAACGGGACCTGAGGATTCGCCGTTCGAAGGTGGACTGTTTAAGCTCGAATTGTTCCTACCTGAAGATTATCCAATGTCTGCACCTAAAGTTAGATTCATTACAAAAATATATCATCCAAATATAGACAGGTAAAGAGAAAACCATAATGCATTTACTTTAATTATCATAGATACACAAGTTTTAAATTCTTCATTGAGTAATTTCTAGTCATAATTTATTATGCGTCACATGAATTACAGGGATGTAGCTCTCTCTGATAAATTAAACTCTTTCTTTAATTATAGGCTACACACAATAATTAAAATTGCTTTTGTACATTTATTGTGTAAAACTTATGTCGGAATTAAGAGAAAAGTGGCAAAAACAAATAGTTCCTTCTCAAGATGTTTAAAAAAAAATACGAATTATTTCACTTTATTTGCAGATTGGGTAGGATTTGCCTGGATATTCTCAAGGACAAGTGGAGTCCAGCACTTCAAATCAGAACAGTTTTGCTGTCTATACAAGCGCTTCTAAGTGCACCGAATCCCGATGATCCTTTGGCAAATGATGTAGCTGAACTTTGGAAGGTCAACGAAAGCGAGGCGATACGTAATGCCAAAGAATGGACTCGAAGATACGCTATGGACAACTGATCTCAGCCTTGTCAGATCGCCCACGACAAAGCAAAGCGACGTTATTCCTACCTTTCCCAGACTTTTCATCACCGTACCCGCACCAATTGCGTATCCGGCACCTGTGTCCACAATTTTGCTATAAAAATAATAAAAGTTTTGTAAGAGTAAAAAACAGAATGGATATTTTCTATATCGTGGGGGAAACGCGAAACTGTTGAATTTATTCAATCGCTCATTAAGGAATATCTTCGTAAATATCTTCCTACATTGAAATGTTGCGAATCTCTTTCTATAAGAGAGAAGGGAGGGAGGCAGGCAAAAAAGCCTCTCTGTGTGAGGAGAAACAATGAAATATGTTACACTATAACATATAAGTTTGAAGTTGTATTAAGCAAAAATATGCTATATACAAATCTCATATTGCTATGAAACCTTTTGTGCAATTTGCAATTTATCCTTTTTTTCTTATTCCTAGTGTATATTATTAAAAAAAAAACTGGAATTGAAAGGTTATGTTATTTAACATATGGATTTTCTTCTTGAAACAAATTTTTATTGTATATATTAACTGGTTATATATGTATATTTCTCTCTCTTTTTCTTTGTCTAATACATTATGGATTAAGTATTATTGCATATTTAGAGAGAGAAATGAGAGAGAGAGAGAGAAAGGCATAAAATTATACAAATAATGTAGCTATTATTTATCACATATCTTACAGATAATATATAAAAGAAACGTCACAAACATTTTTTCAATTTATAAACTTGAATATTTAATTTTTTGTCCGAATATAAAATACTGTGAAATCTTTTAGATTTTCAACATATAAGGACAAAAATTTATTTCCAATATTTTTGGTTTTTATTCAGAGAAGTTTGACTATATAAGTAAATAGAAATCTTCCATTATTATGTTAATACTAATTGCCAATTATAATCGCTTAAAGTGTAAATATAAGTAAAAAAAGTAGGGTCTATTGTGTGTCTTATGATAAATAAATTCTATTCATTAAGATGTTAATACACATAATATAAAAATTTCTGCACAGGAAAAATAAATTTTCCATATAGAAAATTGTTTTACAAGAAATGCTTATATGAATGACAGTAAAATACATAGGAAAAGATATACATAAATATTTTCCATTTTATCAGTAAAATTAGCAACTGTAACGAGAATATGCAAAAAGTATCTAAATTGATATATATTGCATATAATTTTAGCAAAATAGTAGAAACATATACAATATCTTTGTAACAAAACAATGTGTGGCAAAGGAATAGTATATTATATTGATAGAAATCTATATTTATAATATACACACCACTCTTATTGTCATAATGAATGCATTGGCTCAATAAAATATGATAAAAATAATATCATTTATATCTAATCTGCGCGTTATATTGCAACAAATATGAAAAAAATATATAACCAGTTAGTATGCAAATATCTTCTGAAAAAGGAAAACTACTGGAGAGTCGCCCTTTTTTAATTATTATTATAATAGGGAGATTTTGTAATTTAAGGACACGGGGATAGATTAAAACAATTGTAGATAATCTGCAATAATAAAGAGATTATTATTAAGAGTTTGGGATATATAGAGTAATTATTGTATGCATTATTATTATATTACACGTGTACTAGTTACATAGTACACGCAGGATTTTTTCCAAAAGCCAATATGGCATAATTAAAATAATAATTAAGGTCCAAGAGAGAAAAATTTTAATGCAATGTACGTTTAATTGTTAATGTACATTTCATTACGTTCATTCATCGTTAATTAACTATGTCTGTATCTCGCCAACACATTATAGTACCCTCTCTTTAATCGTTCATTTACGTCATTGCTCTAGGGAAATATTTTAACATACGTTGCCATTGATTATAAATAAAAGTTTTATTTTAGATGAGCCTCTATCATTGCCGAGTTAATAACCGAATATGATAAGTTAATAATAAAGTATTAACAAAAATGATCAAATTGATTTCTTTCATAAAAATATCTGTGTAGGTTTAAGTCATATAATACACATTTTATGCTTTTGTTGTAAAAAAAAGTGTATCGATAAAAATCTTGATACACTTTCAATAAGAATATTATAACATGAACTCAGTATTATAAAACGATAAAAAAGCTCGTTAGGACATTTTATAAAAGAAAGAGTAACTTTTATCGGTGCTTCTATACTTTTCACGATATATTAATAGTTTAGATTAATTTTAGACTGCTTTTATGAACGCTTCATAATGTATATATACCTCACTGCTTCATATGTCATGCGGATCAATATTTTGAAGAAATAAAGCCTTTAAAAAGAAAACAAAAACGGAGAAGATGCTATATTTTGTTCTTATCAACATATCATATTGTGCGAGAAATCCGAGCAATAGATATATACACACAACTATGTTTAAACTTGAATTCAAAATTACATTTTATTGTATCTTAGTATGGACTAGCATATACCATATACACATTCAATAGCTCACTTATAATTTATAACTTATTATACACTCACAAACATTGATAAAGACAGTCATGATATCTTGTAGCATGTTTCATGACTGGTGAAGCTACAGCGCAAGCTCTATATATATGTATATATATATATATATATATATATATATATATATATATATATATATATATATATATATTTATATATATACGTGTGTAAGATATAATTATTTTTATTTGTTACGAGAGAATGGCTGGGTTTCAATTATTTCAACGATTCTGACTGGCAATTTTGTATTCTATCGTCCGTACTGCGACTGCACGATCATTATTCATTATTTTATAAGGCTTAATTTTATAAAACACACATGCTTTGTTATCAACCAAATATATATATATATATATATATATATATATATATATATATATATATATATATATCATAAATCAGGCATTATTCGCCATGTCTTCGTTAAAGAACGACTGTGATCGTACAAATATCGTACAATGCTTGGAAATAATTGCACGGCGAAACTTTCTTATTTAACAATTGTATGCTTATTTAAATTTAAAGAGAGAACAAGTTCACTACTACGCATCTTCTCTCCTTACATTCGTTCATACATAATTCACCGATAGCCGTAGAAAAGCTAGAAAAGAAAAAGGTTGTATAGAAAAAAATTTAGATGAGTAGAGAATATCGAGAAATAATATTAAATAAACCTAATACGATTTTATGCTTAAAATAAATATTCCGATATAAGCCACATTTTAATAATTTATATACCCTTAAAATATCAAAATTAAAGTATTATGAAAAAGTATTATGCTAATTTAATAGTACATTAAATTTTCATGTCTAAAAACAAATAAGAAATGAGCATGCATGACCGGATCAATAGTAAATAAGTGGTGGATGTTATTATTAAAATGTGGCTAGACACATTCACATAGTCAGGGTGGCTTGCGATGGTTGAGTATTAACTTATGTGTATATATATATATATATATATATATATATATATATATATATTTATGTATATATATATATATATATATATATATATATATATATATTCATCTTATTCTTAGCGTAATGACTAGATAAGTTTCAGCCACCCAATATATAACATCTTGTGTTTGATCCCATATATTATAATCATATTTCTCTGTTGCTCATTGAATATATGGTTAAAATTTCTATGCCAAAATTCATTATCCTAACGTATATATATTATATGATCATGATTTATTCTAGGATTTACTCTGGTGATCTTTCGGCAAAGGATAAAGGACTTTTTGCATATTCATTTAAATATTTGCCGATGAAGAATGAAGGTCTTCTAGCCCACAATGATATATCGGTTCCCCATGATATGCAATATCGTATATAATATGCCTCGCTATATCCTCTTCAATCAAGTAATCGAGAATTACCATATATATTTATACATACGTATATTTCATGAGACATTTCTCACGTAACTATCCTCTCGAGGCTTCTTTACGCGCATCAAATTCTTTCGCTCTTTTACATATTTTATATATATCAAGTATTATAAACAATGAAAAGAACTTTATATACATGCTTTTGTGTGCCTTCCAGTGAATCGTTCCGTACGAAATGTCGTATGTTTATGGCAAATTAGACATCTCTCAAGATATATCATATAAAAGAGCTGACTTAAATTTAGATAATACAAGTAACTCATCTATATAAGTATATAAAATGAAAAAAAATTCGTGACATTCTTAATCTTCCAAAAAATTAAAAACTAATTTATTTATTAGAAAATTAACGTTTTTCGTCGTATTTAGACAAGTATGACTTTTTTCTTTAGTACACATATATTATGACACTATGTGAACACATAAATTCCATGACTTGTACAGCGTGTTTAATGATGAAGAAATCAGAGCTCTGAGAGTAAAGCGTTCATTAAACTGACGAAAATATGTCTAATTGATACATAAATTGAAAAATTATTATCAAAATTGAAAATTGTTTCTATCTTAAAACGCAAATAATTTTCAGGTTTGATAAAAAGTTATAATATAGTTTAATACTAAAGAATAATCTGCTTATTTCCAAAAAGTTATTTTTTTTCGATCTATGTTAATTAGACATTTTTTTTACAAATAATTGGGCGTCTGCTCTGAACTATCAAATCCTGAATTCCCTCTTCTTCAAACACTCTGAATGATATCAGAAGTGAAGATAATACATAAGCTTGATTTTCTTGCAAATCAGAATATGCCATTTTAATAGGTAATTAGGTAGTTGTACACACACATACACTCACATATACACAAACATTCATAAATAAAGTTTGAATAATTTTTGTTGAAAATTATGCATACTTTGCTATCCCCTGTCTCGCCTCACTACTTAATGTACTTTGGCATTGAAATTTTATCAGACATCAGGAATCTCAAAATTTGTATCATCGCACACTTCTTGATATTTGAAGCAGAATAGCTCGAAGGTGAGAAATCTTCAGCAAAAATAGATAAAACTTAGATTATTGTAACATATAGTATTTATATAGAAGAGAACACGTTTTTTTTCTTTCTAGCAGTACGACTCCGGCGAGAGTTCCAGGATTGGATAATTGTATCTTATTGGATTACACATAGAAGTCATCAGTCTGTATATTTTAGAAAAAATTTTCCATTGACGTAGTTATAAATCGGGATTAGAGCTAGAATTCACTTTGTATGCCTATGCAATGAGAAAAGCCATATTAAATTGAATAACAATTTACATATTATACATGTTAAAGTGAAGACTTACTGCAAGCTGATATGAATAAGAGATGCGCGTCTATAAATATATAAGTATTTTTTTTTATTATTACTACACTATCTTTGTGAATTGATAGTCGAAGATCTATTAGTGAAGAATATTCGTTTCTTGATCGGTTTTTATCAATTTTTCGCAGGAATCTACAAAATAAGATTATTTGAAATTATCATTTCTCAAATTGGAACGTGCAAGAAAATTTTGGAAGATGTGAAGATATTTAATAAGATATGAAAAAAATGTCAATCAGATATTTCAATAGCTTATTCTGAACTTTTAGAAGTTACAAGTGAACTTTAAATGAAGAATTCAATAAAAATGTTGAGTTTCTATTGAAGAGAGTGAGAGATTAGAATATAAGAGTTTCTAAAATATTAAAAAAGAGATAGATAAATACAGAGAGAGGGGTTAAAGAGGAAATGTAAGATTCAAAAGTTTAGAAATCCCTATTCTAAAGTGCCTAAATCGAGTGAAATCTTATATCTATAAAATCTAGATCCTTAAATACACAGCCATTTCTCAATATTTATCAATGTATGCTCGAAGAAGCAAATGATCAATGCAACTTACGTGACAATTTAATTTTTTGCAAACTTGTAGTTTACTACATTTGCAAAAAAGAAAAAGACAAGTCACATATTTTTTCCTAGAAATGTGTAACATAACGTAATTATATGTTCGTTAAGAAATTTTGCATTTATAACAATATTCGAGGTAAATAAAACTTGAGTTTTTTTTAATTTGTCCAATTTTTTGTGGGCGGCAATAAATTCTGAGGATTATTATACAAATTGAAAGATTTTCAAATATCGAAAAATAATATCAATGTAGCTAAAATGTGCTACGTTACAGTTTTCACCTTCATATACAGCCGAGTATTATAGGATAGCGTCGAATAAGTAATATGTAGGCATACAAGACCCATTTGATGGATCATCTTTGTAACAAGTCATTTATCTTTGCAAAAAATTATTTTGATGATCTTGTAAAAAGGAATTACTTGTTTAAAAAAAAGATCTTGTTTACTGCGCTCTTCTATATAATTACTATAGCGTTATTTATCACGAGATTTACGCATCCCAAGTTTACTACAATAGATAGTAATTTTAGTACAAATTAATTAACACCATTGGGCACCAAGCCGCAAGTATTCGCCAGCCTTTTAAAGATAAAAAAGATTAAATAAACGCTTCAACTCTTAAAGTATCTCCCAGACGAGAGATAGAGAGGGAGATCCTTTTTATAAATATTACTATGTCATTAAACTACGTAATATACAATTCCAGCCCTGCTCCAGCTGTCAGTAAAGAGCTTTGTGCTATTTATAATCATGTGCAACTGCATAGTTTGCATCACCTATCATCTTCCTTGGCGCAAATAATGCGATTCTCTGTAACACAGAGTGTTATATATACTAAAATTCTAAAAGAAAAATATACTTTTTTATCGTTTTATTCGATTGTTAACAAGTCAAAATTTTGTCTTAATTTTTATATAATATTCAAGTAATAAACTCTGATATTATGAAAGAAATATTAAAAAAGATATCTCTCCCACTAAACTTGAAGAAAACATATTTATGTTATAGAGAATCTCATTAATATTATATATATATATATATATCTTACGATAATCATATAAATTATGCTTGAGTAAATATTTAATAACATTTCTGCGACGTACCTATGTAATCTTGTTTACTAAGCAGGAGCTGGTGAATGTATCGAATTGTCCCAATGAGAATCGAAACACAAAGCATAGACTTGCGTAGAATAATCTGTACAGATAGAGTAGAGCGAATAGTGTACGGTAGTGGATGGCGGATGTATTGTCTGTTCACTACGCATCAGCCAGGCAACTGAACGCTTTTATATGTACACCGGAGACTCCTGGCCGGTTAATAGTCTAAACATCGACGTGGGCATCGTTTTCATCAAAATCTAGAAAGAGAATAAAAATATTTCGATTCCTGATAAGTCTTCTTTTCGTCAAATAAAAAACATACAACACACACAACCGTACTTGTACATACCTCTCCCACTGATGTAGCCAGAAGGTTAACAATCTTTTCATGCGGTACAGCGACAACACTCTGATTATTGATCTCAATTATCCTATGACCGACCCGAACTCCACCCCGTTCGGCGATGCCGCCTCTCAATAGACTACATATCACTCCGTTCTGTACACTAAATCCTAACTGATACTTGGTATCAGGTCTCTTGATTTTCACTTCGACGACTGGTGCACACGGTACGACGGTCAGCTTCACGACTGTCTGGTTCTTTGAGTTCTTTATGTAAGTCTGACACGTGGACAGAGGCAAACCGACCAATGATACACCGTTAATCGCTATTATCTGATCGCCAATGTTAAGCTGTCCGCAACGAGCGGCGGCACCGGCCGGCGCCAGATTTGCTATGACTACGGTTGGCAGCATCGAGCCCCATCCAGATTCAACGATTACGACACCGAGGATCTCCCCCTTCGCTTTCGGCACCACTACCTGAAAACGAAAAATAATATTGTCACTTCGTCATAATTAAACCAAGACATCAGAATAATCTAAAATCGACGTTCATCACTTTATATCGGATTCGTTCAGTTTTTGGGAATTAATAAAAAAAAATCAACATTTATTCATACTTTCGAATAAGATTGAAAAATTACCTCTTTCTGCATCTCTTTCTTGGCAAACATTTGTAACTCGTCGCCGAATATCTCTTGCGAATTGAGCACTTCTTGGTAATCCATTTCTTTAACGAAACTATGGTCTTCTATCCCGTTTGCCTTTAGGAACTCCATGTAAGCTACTTGAAACGCTTGTCCAATACTTTGTGCTATAAATTGAGCTTCCTCACTTTCGAAAACGTGACAGATCATCTTCGGAGTACGATTAATTTTTGGTACTTCTTCCATTTCGTGCGGCACAAAGCGTCGTCGCGCCATTAGCACCACCAGATCACCGATATCGGCAATGTACGAAATAGTGCGCAACGCGTGGTCCATCATGATTTCTTTCAGATCAGTATTGAGAACCATAATCTTTTCCGTCGATATGAACAGATCTACTTCCGTACTTGGCTGAGTGTCACCGTCTGGTGCCTGGAAAAGATACATCACGGCGTTACTTTCAGAAATATCTAAAATAACAATCTATATCACATCTATCACATATATATTTTGTTTCATATGCGAATATACGTACCAATGCCTATCGAAAGGAAGCAGCATGTGTAACAAAGTAGAGAGTAATTAATTATAAATTATTCGAATACATGATATAATAAATTAAACACATACACGCAGCGCGCTTATTACTAGTAAAGTAAATAGTGCATTATAGTGTGAACCGTATAAGCATAATCATTAACGACGCTATCACAAACCTGAGAGTTTGAAAGAGAGAGAAAGAGAAAAAAATAGAGGTAAACGATCATACAACCCCCCTAACTTTGACGCAACATCTAACTTGCAAGAGATTTGGTCGCTATGATTTATAAAGAACATGTGCATTGTGTGTAATACGGTAATGTGAGAGTCTCAAGTAACTGAAAGGTGCAATTATGGGAAGAAATTGTTGGTCGAGTAAAATAAAATTCAAGTCAAGCTGAAAACTTGATAATGCGCAATGTCGAATCATAATAAATCAATAGGGGGCTAAAAACGTGGGGTAGGGTAGTCGTCGAACGACTGTTCTTTCAAGAATTAAAGGACAATCGGTCGCAGACATTCACGAGCTGGGGGATGATTGTCTTGGGACATGAAGGGCAATGAGGGCGGACCTTGATCTTTGTCACAGCCTCCTCCACCATGTGGTTCTTAAGGCGCTTACGCCGTTTACGTCCCCCTTCCTCTTCCACCTCCACCGACCCGAGAAATTGTAGTCTGAAAACGGTCGTGGGCCCCAAGCAGCCACTGATCGGGGCCAGTTTCGGCTGGTGGTTCGCCCCAAGCGCGTGAGACTCGGACTGGCCCCCACCAGAAGCGCTTCCTATAAGTTCTTCGCTTGAGTCGCACTCGTCCTCCTCTAGGCTTCCTTGCGAGGCAATGCTGCAGCGACCATACCCATGCTGCCCCCCATAGTTTAAGAGCGTTGCCTGCATCGGCCCATCATCCTTCCGTTATGTACGCGCCAAACAAACAAACAAACAAAGGCTCTGCTAGTCACACCTTGCCACGCACCACCGACAGAACGAGAGGCAAAAGGCCAATATGTTCATGAGTTCTCGAGTTGCTAATGTACGGCTTGTTTTTTTTTCTTTCTTTTCTTTACTTCTTTCATATGCACTCATCATGCTTCTGTGTCCTCTATCCGTATATATCGAGTCAAGTCATTCACATATACATATATAAATGCAGCAGAGCTCGGTGGCGTGTACATGTACTTTTACGACCTTCATTATACATTCATCTTGCCTTCGAACAAGCGTATCATCACGGTAGCTAGAAGCTGTGCAACGTGCAAGCGTATGTTACAGTAAACGAAAGTTGATGAACGAGCATATTACGGCAATTGCAATTAAATCAAATTTTTTAAATAGCGTTTATATATACATAAAATTGGTTATAAGAATCTTCAGGCGTTTATCTAACAACTCGAAGTTTGTTATCGCAAAAAAGTCAATTCAGTTTTTTCAATTAGCACTTATATCAAACAATCAATAAGCAATCGAGGTAAGAATATAAAATCATTTTTGACAACAATAATTTCGATTTAAAAAATTAAGCCTTTTCAAAAGCAAATGCAGAGATCTTAGATGCAAGCATAAGAAAAGTATCAAGTAGCATCAAGCTAATAATATGGCTTATTTTAGAAAGCTTTACCGAAATATGAGTAATATTAATTATCGAGAGATAAACTTCTCAATCCTTGCAATTCCCTGATTATTATACCCTTATATATAATGGAGCACAGCTTAGCAGGCTTAGCTTGCAATTGATAATAAATAAAGTAATAATAAATTATCATGCATATACTATTAAAAGAATTAATTGACGTCACAATTTCTTATAATCGCTCAGACATTTCAAAAGAGGCAGAAATTACTTTCGCGCGAGCGTGCTCAATTATAAAAACATCCTTTTCGAACATCTTAATTTTTGCTTAGTGTGTAATTACAATATTCTTCCAACCACAGAAATTAAAAGAACATTTCCAATCCAATCCTGGTCTACTCAACTATGTAAGATATTATTATGCTACGATAAAAGATATCATAGAAAGATCTTTAATAATCTAACTATCTTGTAAAATCTGATTAAGCGAACGAATGTACATAAAGATTGCGCGACTAATCTTACAGGATACTGTCATAACATGGTATCGGTGCGTTATCGTACGTCATATCTTTTCAGAAAATTCGCAGTTCATTATCTTCTTTCCCAATAGAAATTTGCTCAAACTCTGCGTCTTACATTTTGCACTTAGATCTGATTTTCACATTCCCAATTTTCTTCCTCTTTATCGATACGTTTACAGCAATTTATCTTGCATCTGAAGATAAAACATAAAAATATGCAATTATTGAGTAGACCAATATCTTTGCGAATTACGGATTTCTGGTGCGTAAAATATATCGATCAAGAATCTACAGGAGCGGATATAGCAAGCGAATAGCAAATATATGTAAATATATAAATATATGTATGTATATTTATATATATTTATATTCGCAAAAAGAGAAAGAAAGATTGACAGATACACAGAAATCACATCAAAGTTACACTGAGAAGATGACAGTGTTCGGTGGTCAGGTGGTGGTGGTGGTGGTGTTGGTGGTGATGTGAGGAAGGGGGGCGCTACACTGAAACATTCAGGCCTTTTTGCACAACGGCCAGTTCACAATTATATTTAGATTAATTGTATCAGATAGTCGAAATCAGCATTCAGATTCTGTTAAAAGAAGCTCTAAGGGCGATGGCAGCTTCTCGTCGATTATCGCATAAAAGGAAAAAGAAATCGTATTCTGTGTTATTACTAGGAAAAGTAAGTATAAGTATAATCTTACGATATAGTATATATATATATATCTAAATGCTGACATTTGATTGCTTATGAGCAGTACCTAAGAGTAGGAGGAAAGAATTTACTGTTTCGCTCGCTTAATACTGACAGTTTCCTTGGAAGATTGTTCACTCACAAATTATATAAATTATAGAGACTAACAATAAGTGTAGTTAAAAAAAAAGATATAACGCAGAGTTATCAGTAAAAATAACGGAAAACCGAAATGCAATAGGTATTATACAAACGCTATCTGTACTATCTTCTAAGGAGAATATCTCATCAACTGTCTAACAAATATATATGTTTCGTCTACGAAATTGAAGTTGAAAAACGACGCGACTTGACGGACAGTGTGTACTCTTTCCTACAGAAAACTCTCAGGTTTATCTAATCACTTATAAGATTCTAGCATTTTAACTATTTGAGGTAAATTAAGGATCTCAAAGTAATAGAAACTGAAATACTTGGCGAAGGTGTAACACTAGATGTTTGATGCGCGTATAAAAACATAATTATCATATTTTCTATAGCTATATAATTTTCAAACTCGCGCAATGAGAATAAAAAAAAATATTGCCATCTTGAAAATCCTCAAAAAGTTAAAAAAATCTTAATACATATATATTGCACTGAAATACATATTATATTGCAGATGAGAATATATTGCACTGTTGGTCACTACAAATTAAGTAGCAAATTAAAATAGTATAAAGCATTCAGAGCATGCTGCTAATTTTATCATCGTTATTATTATTATTATTCGTAGTTTAATTTTAATAGTCCCCATAGAAACGATTTTAAGTTATCTATAAAAAATCTCCTAATGCACGACTTTTTCAGAGTTTTAACAGACGTCGAAAACTTACAACAATCGCGCGAAACATTTCTAATCAATATACAAATTCTAACGCATTTGTATTCGAGACTATATAATGCATCTTTCAAACTTAATGCTACTGATCTAAACAAAACACAACATATCATTTACTAGATGTGGATGCATTATCTATCAGATATATCGCTCGATGCTTACTTAATTAGTAGTTATTCTGCTCTTTAGAACAAACATTCTAGGAAAATAATACGTAATAACTTTTAAGTGATTTATGCATCACAATTAATAATTCATACTGTGTATATACTCGACGTTCTTTGTTTTACTTTTTCAACGTTTTGCATATTTTTTCATAGGAGAGAAACAAGTGTTCTCATATACATACTCTATTTGCTTGCATATTACGAGTATTGTGCTATTATATACACATATCTGTATATAATCATAGATATATATACACACATCTCTCGCAAATGCGAGCTATACAGGATATCATATATAAGGTTCTTGTAAAATGTAGGCATCTTTCCTTTAACACAATTTTCAGAATTGATTTACATGATACTTATTTTTTAATATGCTAATTCAGTGCTGTTTCTTGATTCTTCTGTCTAAAAGTTTTTATACTTCTATAAAATCTAAGTAATATTTATATATTTTTTAATAAAACACATTTTTTAAATATTGCTAATTAATAATTATTAATAAATTAAATATCTCGAAAATGATACATTCCTGGAAAATTTGTTAAAGGAAATGGCTAATTTTTTACAAGGAATAAAGTAGTGTCGATTTCTACCCTATTTCGATATAGGACATCCTGTATAATATATTACAAGGGGAGAAACGCCTGAGAAATATGACGAATAAAATAAAAATAAAAAAATAAAAAAAATAAAAATAGAGAAGAATGCGTTCGTAAGAATATATTTTCGCGTATGTACCTTTATCCTGGAAACAGCTTCCTCCGCTTGACACATTCGAGTCGACTTGGTCGGTTGACCCTCGCATACCAATTGCGTGGATCCCAAATACCTCGCGCGGAACAGAACACCTTCGATCAATACTGACGGATCGTCCAATAAATCTGAAAGCGCCACAGACACGTACCATTTAGTATTTTTCCCATTTCTCTCGCGATTCAATGTGCCGAAGGTGATTAAGCGCTGGGAAGAACATTCGGGCAATTTAACAGACATGGATGCGTTAGTATCCAATATCAGAGTTTTTGATCCCTGGGAGTTCGAACCTTCAGTTAATATTAGAATTTTCATACTCTGAAAATTCTCATACTAAAACTATCAAGTTTTATATTTTAGAATCTCTCACTTTTATTATATTCACACATACTCTTTTATTATATTTTAATATGCACTTTTATTTATTATTTATCAGAAATTATATATCGCGTCTAACTGAAAGATGAGTTTCCTGTACGATTGTATTGCAAACGCGGCAAATATGCACTAAAAATGCACAACACTTTATATTCATGGAACATTACGCTCTGTAAAAGATAACAGACACTTATGTCAGCAAAGTTCGAAATTATTTACTTCTTCACCAGCCTTCCCCATCTAAGGCACTTTAGGTGAGAAGAGGGAATACGTAAAAAAGATCGTAACTTCTGAATCCTTGGTAATAAAACTCTCGAATATACTTATCAATACAGTTGCCAAGCTTATTAAGAAACACAAACAGAGTAATATAATTGTCATCTGAACGGGGAGACTTCTCAAGTCTTCGAGCGAGATTTACAGATGATACTTAGGTATACAAAGATAGTCTCATCAAACATATATGACGCGTATGGAATATTAGATATGAATAGATAAATAGACCTTGAATTGGAAGAGAATGTGATATAATGCATACAAAAGTTAATAATATTAATTACGAATTAAATAAAAAAAAGTTTATCAATGGCAATAATAATTAAATATTTTAATTTTTTGTTACAAAATATATATATAGATGTAAAAAGAGAGTACCTACCATATAAGAATGGTTAGAAGAAGATGCCGAATTTATACACCATGCAAGCAGTAGAAAAGAAATATTATATTAATATATCGTTAATATTCATAATAATTAAAAAATCGTTACAAGTATGGGGAAAAAAATTGATAAAAATGTGTGATAGTACCTTCTTTGTTTCTGCTCTTCTTTTTTCCTTCCTTATCCTGAAAAATAAAACAGACAGAATGCAGATAAGACTTTGACAGATATAATGACAAATTTCGTAGATATATAATATATGGAATCATTTAAGCAGTAGAATATATGTATATATATATATATATATATATATATATATATATATATATATATATATATATGCTAACCATGCAATAACTTTCATATAAAAAAGCCAATAAACATTAACATGTTCTTATTTATTATAAATAAAAAATATTATAAACTGTAGCAGCAGTAGTAATAGTATTAATAATACGAGTAGTAAACAGAGCACTACATATCACTGAGAATTTTCATATTCCTCTTCATTTATAAATCAATTATAAGAATTACTTTGTTCCACAAAGCACAGGAAATAATTATATAAAGTGTTTCATTATTATTGCAGTATTTGTCAAGACATAATTATCCATTATGCGCTATTTCTATAAACACAGGACTGAGGCTATTTCTGTTACAAATTAAAAGAAGCGTAATAAGCGGAAGCTGTGAAGAAAAGGTAAAGCAATTGGATAACAAAAAGAATACTCTCTCTTTTGAAACAAAATCAGCTTAAACATTTTTATCAATTATATTAAATAATTTATCAATGTTTATTTATTATTGCATAAAATTTTATTTGCTATAATGTGTATATCAATTATTTCCAGTTATTTTTATAGTAAACAGTATTTAAATAATTTATTTATTATTGCATAAAACGTTCTTTTAATTAAACGTATACTAACTATATATCATCGTTTATAACTGTAAAATATTTGAGTAATTATCAATCTATGTACTATCCTATTGAAAATGTATTTAAAGAGAAATTGATATACGTGGCATAAATTATATTTAAGCTGATTAGTGTGTAGTCTCATTTAGCAACAGAAAGATAGCACGCCGTCATGCACCAATATTTCAATTACAAAGAACGCCTAGAGAGAGATATATCTACAGTCTCTAAGTAAGAACAAATAATTCCGTGGTAGCATTTGAAAGGGCACCTTTTTCACCTTGTTGTTGGATTCCTTGAGGCTCTGAGGGGATGAGGGAGAGTTTTTGACTGGGGTCTTCTGCGGACTCGACGTGGGTTGCGCGGGAGTGGCTACTTCGCACTCGTTAGAAGACGACGATTGTATAACGGACACTACGGGAGGTGGGGAGATCGAGGTAGACGTCGAGGGTACGGGCTCGGAAGGCGCTAGCGTTTCTATCGGGGCGACACTCAAGGTTTTGGGAGGGGTTTGCTTTGGTGTAGCGACTTTCGCATTCATTGGCGGTAACATTGTCCTAGTCTTAGGCTTCCTCCACCCCTGTGTAACACCAAGACGATATTAATTGAACACCGATACCAAATCAAATCGCGCAGAATATACAGCAAATGCGTGTTAGCCCTTTTTTTCGCCTAAATTTTAACGCACCGCCACCATCTCGATATTGCCTAGTAGGAGAAGTTACAGTGTACGCATAGTTTATATTGTTACAAGTGTGCGTTATTAATTTAGGATTTATACAAGTCTAGCGAATCAAAAAATGCTCAACGATGCTTTCTAACATCGTATAAATTTAGTTCAACTATTAGATATTTTTTTTATTATATAAAAAAATATTTCTTTTATTGACAATAAAATATTATTATGTATATATTACAGACTTTTAACAGAAAAAACCATGTCTCTATTTGTTTGAAAAAATGTTACATATAAATAAATTTATATTATTGAGAAGTATATCATTTTTTGATTTGCGCTTTTAGATCACTTAAACATTAGAAAACAAGAAAATCCATAAATATAACAATGATTAATAAAAGCGATGCGCAATAAAATAAGATTGCGCATCGAATATTACGTGCCTACCTTATCATCATAAAATCCTTGATCGTCCGTTCTTTGTTGTCCGAGTAGTCGATCTGTTTCAAGATCGGTATCCGCTTCCTCTTCATCCGGACATTCCTCGATCTCCACGTCACCGTCATCGCCTATGCGACGCGCATCGGATTCCTCGCTATTGTTTTCCATGCAGAGTCTGCGCCTGCCATCCATTATACTGCATCTTAGTTAGATGCGTTTAACGCGCAAAACAATGAGATAGCCCAAAGGGTATCCCAAACGTACGTGTTTAGTGTCGTAAAAGGAAAGAACGTTTTAGCAAGCAAGAGTAACCGAAGCGAAATATTGGACAACACAATTGGAATACCCTTATCCGCATAAAACGAAATGTAAGATACCTTGGTATCCATATCGGACTGACGCTCGGTTCCGGCGGATCTTCGGACGGAGATTTCACAGGGAGAGTTTTAGTCCTTTGTAGCGCCATCCTGATGTCTTTGATAGCCGCTTCCACCTCGCCACAGTTGACCTCCAAGTTTACACTTTGCCGTCCCTGAGGCGCCGGCGGCGGCGGGGTGCCCAGTGGATCCAATCCGTCGAGCTGCAATTCGTTCGTGTCGTACGAATTCTCCTTCTTGGCGATAAACAGATCGGGGGACGACGTGGTCTTCAACGTGTGTAAAATATCCTTTGTTACATTCAGACCAACGTCTTTTCCGGAGTCGTTTTCGTTTGTGCCTAACATGTCGTTACGCGTTCTCTGTATAATCTCTTTCTCTATTTCGTTTATCTGCCGTTTCATAAGCATCACAGTAGGATTATTGTTGTCGGTGTCGCTCGCATGACCGCTAGACAGACCGTCCTCTAATACCGGCATGCTGGTGTATATTCTCAAGGAATCCGAATTATTCCCCAGATCGCCGACCGATCCGAGAAGGCCACTTGCCGGCATTAATTCGTTGTCCATCATCATGAGGGACACTTCGCTATCCAAGTCCCCGCAATTGCTGTCGCAGTCGGTTGTCTCGGGACTCAGCGTGAAATTACGCGAGTGCCCTACTTGCAAACCAACCTCGGTCTCTCCGAGATCTTCACTGCTACCGGTACCTACCGAGAGGTCTAGAAAATTGTTTTCGTGTTCACCCGCCTAAAAAAAAAGCAGAGAAAAAACTCAGCCAAATGTTTACTCTGCAGCAGCGTAGTTCGCATGTCAAATATAGTAAAGCTTCTCTCACAAGCGACTACATGTGTGCAATATAAGAACTATGTGCCTATCAGGGATGTGCATTATTTGAAGTAGAAACACTTAAAATTAAACAATGATAAGAATATTTTTAAGTCAGCTCTTTAATTTTGTGACTTAAAATTAAAATTGTAAAATGCCTATTCATTTTGTATTTTGAATTTAAAATACCTGTTTTCAAAACTTATTTTACTTTAAAATGATTCTTGTATTACCCATTTTTTATTTCAAATGCATTCTTCTTGCAAACTAAAAATTAATCGAGATATCAACAATATGTATAACAAAATGTTATTAAAAAAGTCGTGTCTGTAAAGAATAATCATTTTTTGTAATTCTACATGTAAATACATTTATATAATTTTTTTCTATTTATATTAAAAATATATAAAGTTTGTATAAAGTTATAAAAGTTAAGAGTCTATAAAAGAGTTTATGAAGAAATTAGAATTTAAATATAAGTAATAGTTGTAAAAAGTATATAATAAAAAATAAGAATTTAAATATATATATATATATATATATATATATATATATAAATGGTTTTTTAAAATGCCTATATTTATCATTTTCTATTGTATATGTTTAAAAAGCATTTTGTATTTTCAAATGGAAAGCTTCCAACTTTGTATGTTCTATTTTAAATGGATAGACACCCATTTTGCACATCCCTAGTGACTATATATAAATACAAATTTATATTTAGAATCTAACTATTGAAAGAAACAATTTTCAAACATTGGAGCATCTATTGGTATTTTAAAGTTGTTAATAACACTATTTGCATTATACTTATTATTTATTGCACAAGTTTTTAATATATAAATAAATATTATTGATGTAAAATGTATATATTTTATGTAAAATTTTACATGACACGCAAGAAAAGTTAATAAAATTTGAGAAAAGAAAAAGCAACCTTTAAAGTAATATTTCTTATTTAATATATATTTTTATACTCTCTTACATTTTGAGGATATTCCGCTCGTTGCTTCTTTGGAGATTCATGTACCATAACCTCCTCCGTTACTGGTGGACCACTAGCTAATCGTTGACCAACATATGCACTTCCTCCTTGCCTTCGTAATTCATAATCAAGATCCTTGTGCGTAAAAGAAAATAATATTCAATTATTAATTTATAAGTTTAAATATTAAAAAATCGTGTACTTGAATACATTTGTTTATATATATATATATATATACATATAAATAACAAAAGTATTTATATATATATACACATATATAAAAACTTTTGTTTCAGTAAAGACTTACTTGAAAAGGAAAAGATTCTATATTGTTCTCTTTTTCTTTCGTCGGCGCCGGGCATTTGAAGAATTCTTCTAATACTTTCCGCGTTTCTGAGAATTCGTACAGATAGTCGAAAGTACTACCTCCTGGCGAAACGAGACTGCTTATATTATCAGCAGGCAAAGTCGACGGTTTTAAAGAATCCTCCTCTTCATCTTCCGCCTTTGGTGATGGACTTGAAGGATCGATGGGCTGATCTTCGATGCTAGTATTTTCTATCACAGTCTTGTCTATAATGATTTCTCCAGAAGTATCTTCCTTCTTGAAATACAAAGAAAAAAAATATTGACACTGCCCAGCTAGTTTTATATATAACATTCCGCGCACGATGTGTATCTTTTACCTCATTATGATTTGGCGTTGTTGGTAATACTCTTTGCGGAAAACCAGGCCTTGGTGTCATATACATTGAAGGCGACGATAATAAGCTAGGAAGCTGTGTATTTTCACGAACTCCATAACGCCTCGGACTGCCAGAATACTGAGCTATTGGTAATTCACCAATGACCCTCGCAACTTTATGATTACGTTCTGGAGATGGGGAATCTGCCTCGCAATCGCTCGCTGGTGTAACAACCTGTAAAATGCGAAAGATTTGTAAAAATCCTTTAATAATACATTGTTATACGTATATTTATCGCACATTATTACTTTGAAAAATTCTGAAGTATTGCGGTGATATGCTGTTGTAGGACTAGGAGTACTCCCAACACTGGAGCTCGGTGGTTCCGGGGCAATACGACCTCTTTGAGAATCGTCCGTTTCCAAGTCGACACTCGATGCTGTAATTTGGTTCGTATTGCTCGCCAAATCTAATCTTAGCCCTTGCCAGTTGTCATCGATATCATCAAAAACCACAACTTCACCATCACTGACAATTGCCATACTTCTCGCAGGTGTATTGTGATTTGATTGATAATCTATGCAACTCTTTGGTAATCCATAGTCCAGGTCGGTAATACTTTTTGGTATGGTATATTCTACATTATTGCTATTCAAAATTGAATCATAATTAATTATGCGATTGCTACGGTTGCTCTTAGGTGAGTCATAATCCAGAATGGATTTTGTGGGGTTGCGTCGCACCGAGTGTACCTCAGAGGCAAACACAGTCTCTGTCACTTCTCGATTTGCGCGTTGCTTCCTGGTTTCACCACATCTGAAAATCATCGTCATGATTAGTGACAATCCATTATACAGAGTATTACAAAAAAACTTAAGACTGTATTGTCAAAAGAAATTTAATTACCGGCTTCGTAATTCCCATATGGTCTGTGTGCTAGGGGACTTGTTATTCTTCTTAACAGACAACTTATTATCAGTTTGAATGTCCTCGTTATTTATAGAATTTGATGCAGCCAGAAATCTTGATTTTCTAGCCGCTACCTTTCCTCTGCTTTGTGAGAATACTTCTCGACCACCAGCAATTTCTATAATTCTGTGGAGATAATACAAGAATTACTACATATGTTTACAATGTGTTTCTCAGATTTTACAGAACAACAGAGAATTTGACACTAATTTATAAAAATCTTATGTGAATTTTAATACATATGTTACTTTGCAATAATCATGTGCAAGTTCAATAACATACTTATTGTGTCATTTATTTTGAAAATAAACACAAGACAAAGAAGAAAGATTTCAACTTTATCAAATTTAGTGCATCTTAAAGATGATCTAACGTCACTATATACACTTTACAAAAACATTTTGCATAAATTTATTTATACCGATATCAATCTGACGAGGATAAATCAAAAACTGTGCGATAAAGTTATAAATCTCGATGAGTTGTAATTCTTGAAAGTTAAGTACGCGATGTTTGCACAACGTATCGCATTTCCGAGTGAATAAATTTCAGGCTTATCGCGGAGAAACGATAGCGCTGGGAGATGAAGTCGCGCGTGACAGGCGAGAGTTAACCCCCAAAAATTTGACGCGTGATGCCCCACCGTAAAATTTACGCACCGTTCGCCTGTAATAAAACCTCCGTCGACGAATAATCTCGGCTTTACGCGCTTATGCGAGCGATGTTCATCGATTTTCGGCCTCCGCTCGAACCTGGAATGATTTATTGAAAAATAATCATCGGTCCCCAACTGAGAGTCTCAACGATGACGGCGAAGACGTATATCCGCGCGAGAAAATCCGGCGCGAGTTTTAAGCCAGTAATTCCCGCCGCGCCCATCTGGACGCGCTTCCATCGTCTTCCGAACATCCGATTTTATCCTAGCAAAAAACTCTCGAAATGCTTTCGAATATATGAAGATTCACCGCGATAATAAAGGTGAAAAAGAGACGATATGGAGAAAATGCAATTATTAAAAAACAAAAAAAAAATATATATATATATAATAAATAAATAAAATAAATTACAAAAAATTAATTAAACTAAATAAATCAAAAATTATTTTAATTTAATTTAAAAAAATAGTAAATTCATTTCTCGATCTGTTTTATTTTTTTCGAGCTTATCTTGACGATTTGTAAAATAAAAAATGCTTAATTTCTCTCATATGGAGCTTTTTCTTATATTTGCGACTATTTGTCGATTATTAAAAAATTGCATCTCTCGAATTTGTTATATTTAATCTCTCTTTATATAAAACTAAAATTTCAAACAAATATATTTCCCTCCATAAAAGCATAATTTCTCCTTATATAATAATTCCTTTTTACTCTTATCGTAGTGAGAATCTTCATATACTTCGTATTAGTGGCTATTTTTGTCTTATCACTATATCAATTGCAGAATAAAAAGAAGATAAAAATGCATCTCTCAATCTTTACTTTACTTCCGAGCTTATCTCGGCGATTTGTATAAAATCAAAATCACGAAGAAAGCATTGAAATTGAATGACTTCTTCCTACGTTCCGGATTGTGCAGTAAACTCAAGATATTCGAGATGGAAATATAAATCTCAAATTCCTACTACAGGTAGACACAGACTATGCAAAACGCAATTCAAAAAAAATGCAGATATAAAAGCAATTGATCGCTTCGAATATTCCGCTCGGATATGAAAGAGCGAAAACTTATTTTACGTGCTGTGAAATTTTTTTTTAACTGGACATCTCGTCGAAATTATCGAATTCAAAGTTATCGGGCATATCCGGTAGTCAATATCAGTATCGATATGATGCGCTTCAGCAAATCTGAATCGAACGTCGAATATAGCTGAAAATAATACGTATATCTGTACATACATTTCTACCTATATTGATATATCGATAAGTTCCAATCGATTAGCGATTAATGATAGCCTGAGTGATATCAGAAATGGCAATTCCTTACATTTATTCAATAACAAAAATAATATCTTTACTCGAAGCGATGCACTTGAAACAACTTTTAGGAAATTTTTTGATTGTCCAAACATCTTCATTCTATCAGCTTTGTTTTTTTACAGAGGAAAAAATTTGAAAAATGTATTACGTTGTCACATATAAATGTAGAGTTCCTGAAGAGCACCGCATGTGCAGCTTGAGGAAGCACGCAAGGAGTTATCACCGACGACGAAGACATTTCCGGAACGAAATCTCTCTCACCCGCAAGAAGGAAAAATAGTTACCACGGGCGGGTATTATACAGGATGTTTCTAGATTTATATCAGATATTTTAAGGGCCTATTCTAGCAAAAGTTCCCGTAACATGGGTCCAAAAATGGAAATATTTTTCGATTTTTTCTCCCTTAATTTTAGAGGGTTACAATTCGGAGAAAACGCATTTTTGGACCCATGTTTATAGAAACTTTTTTTCTTATTTCGACCCCTAGAATACGCCCTTAAAATCTTTGACATAGTTTTAGAAACGCTCTGTATACGAGCGTATTGACTTTGTTTGCTATACATCGGGCAATACTCGTATTAACGTAGCGAGGTAGAGAGAAGCTGATATTTGAGTGACATTTCCTCTCGCGGAGTATTAAGCTTGAAATTAACGCCCCGTTGAATGTACACGAACAACTGTGTCAGATTGTGAAACCTGTGGAGTTGTATATCGGCTATGAAAACTGAACGCTCTCTCGTGTCCACGTGCAAACTTGTATAGATACATTTAAAGACCCAAACGTCACATACAAATGGACTTTCATCGTCGACCGATGTTCCCCGTCGTATATAAACGCGCAATCCGCTCGAATTTAATGCCGCCAGTGATAGGAAACGTAACACATTTTTGCGTGTACACAGGTGTTCGTATATACCTCGACTTTACAGCCTTGTTATCGATTTTTATGCAATTTAGCCGTTCGACTCAACATTCTCTTCAACTCGCACCCTCTAATTAAGTTTAATCTCTATTTTAACTCACTTCTGTTTTACATATTAAAATCGTGACCTATTTCGAACTTTCCATGATTTTTAATTAATTATATATATAATTATTATTTATACACACATACATATTTCTTACGTTATCTAAATTTTATTTAAAAAAAAGTTAAACAAAAATTTACTACAAATATGCATTTTGTTTTGAAATAATTAACTAGAGTTTACAATTTTTTTACACATTAAAAAATATTTTCTTCAAAAACGAAAATATTTAATTTTATATATTACTTTTTCCCGCAATTAGCAAAAAAATTTCAAGAGTATCATATATGTATACACAATGATGCAAAGCACGATTAATTCGATTATTTCACAATTTTAAAAATTGTAAAAATATAAAGGCGACTTTCTCAATACCAGTTTTATTTAAAATCTCGAGAATCTTAAATGCGGCTACCATATTGATAATCAATAAAATAAATAATTTGTTCACGAATAATTAAAATCCGGCAGAAATGTTTTAAGTCACATTCTACAGAGTAGAAATACTTTAACGTTTACCTCAAGTCTATCAAAATGGATCGCCGCATAAAATAACTTCTCGTTGAATAAATAAATAAATTGACGAATCGGCGCTCATCCCTTATAAGGCTAATTGAATTTCCGCGTCGCAATCCGTTACCTCGAATCCCGGAGTTTATAGCTGGGGCCTCCTTTCGCCGAGGTAAGGATATACACGGGGCTCTCCTCCGGTCCGCTGTCATCCTGCTGTGATTGTCCCTGATGATCGCTACCCGGCAGACTCCCGTATTGGGGCGCATCCTCGCTGCGTCCCGACGCCGAGGACGAGCTCGACGAAAGCGGCTTCGTGGCGTGCGGCAGCTGGCCCTCGACCGTGAAACTGGGCACCACGCTCGCCGTCCTACGGGACAGCGAACCTGATTTTTTTCTGCCATTCGCTCGTTTCCTATACCTACGAACGTAACTTGGCACTTTTAACAGTCGGCAATCGTGTTGAAATATTTTTTTTTTAAATAATATAATAATAATAATTAAAAGAAAAGATTCTCTTCAACTATTTTTCATGTGGCGAAAATTGGTAGCGTGTGTACTGTCATAATTAAGGAATGCGAAGGAATAATTAAGGAGCGCGGACGGAGTAATGCGTCTGTTGAAAAAAATTATCCGAATGGGGGGTTTATTAATGGAAATTTATATGAATTTTACTCTAAAAAAAGATGATAAACCAACACACATTCGCCTACAAATTAAATTATTTTGTCACACAACGTGCAGCTTTTTATCTTCATTCTGCACGTCTGTTCCATCTGGCTCCTCAATTAAGTAATTAGCTAGCCACATTACCACGCATCATGTTAAGCAGAAAATAATAGAGAAATGAGTAGAAATAAAACTCTTTTCCATACGGTATCTTATACATATCTGTAACGAAGTCGCTTATTATAAAAAAAAATCGTTAAAAAGTCAACGCTCGCGATCCTTATTCAACTCTCCAGCTCTGCCAATAGAATTATACATCGGGATCAAATTCCGAAATACGTTCCGCGTATCGGATCCATCAATCTGAATATCCTAAATCCTCGAGAAAGGAGGAAGGGAAGGAACATCCGACCGGTAGTTCGCAACCTTGCAGTTCTTCCGGGATATTCCCGAATTAATCCGAGCGTCCCGCGCCGGTAAATGGATTAAACTTGCCTGTCGGAGGTGTCACGCTCGAGGTCGATCATGTCGTCCGATATCGCGGAGACGCTCGTCGACGTGGAGGCGATGGTGACAGCGGCGGCGGCGGCTGTTGCGGTGGTCGCGGCGGTGGCGGTGGTGATAGCGGCGGCCTCCGTCTGGCAGGGGCTGTCATGCGGCTGCTGCTGGCTGCTCTGCGTGGAGGCCCCCGGGGGTGGGCCGCCCCTAGGCCGGCATTTCGGAAAGAGTCGGTTCAAGTCGGCGTTCTCCAAGATCAGACTTGTCATCGCCACGGCGCGTTCATGTCTCGCAGCAGGATGTCCATTCTACTGCGGGCACGGAGAGAAGAATTCATGTTAAACGCAATTCTTTCTGTGTGTCATGTAATATATATATACCTACAATATGTACAGGGTGTTTCGAAAATTATGCTTAGAGATTTTGAGGGTGTACTCTAGAAATCAAAATAAGGAAAAAGTTCCCCTAAAGAAATGGGTCCAAATTATAAAAAATTCTTTTTCATTTCTTCCCCCAAAGGGAATTTTTTTTTCTTTTTGACCCCTAAAATATGCCTTTAAAATCTCTGACATAATTTTAGAAACATCTTGTATATATGTCCTGGGATTATTCAGAGACGATTTTTCTTCAGCCAAAATGTCGAAGGTCATCATTTTTTGCATGTTCCCAATTTTTGCCATAATGTATCTTTGTAATTAGCTTCAAATTAAAATTCTATTAAAGTTAATTCTACCTGAAATTAATCAGAGAATGTGGTTTTGTTAATATTTTATTTCCACAAGGCTTAGTTTGTGAATAACTCTTTATTTTCAATTGCTTATTATTAAAAATTATTAGTGCCTCGACATTTTCACTGAGGAAAATCGTCTCCAAATAATCCCAGGAATCTACTATTAAAATAACTGAGACACCCTGTATACAGAACTGTCGCGAAGCGTATTTTACAGAATTTTCAGTTCTCTTTCTTTCAATGTTGTCGCGAAACTCTCTGACAGTTGTTTGTTCTTTTTAGTCACCTGCAGTCAAGTATCATACGAAATGATACGTACAATTTGTTTCCTTTCTTCTTCGGAAACTGAATGATATATTTTCATAAAATGATATCTTGCGCGATACACGAATGTCTCTTTAATTTATGATTGATTGGCGGTTGATGAACGAAAAGGTTTCGATAAATTGCGTATTTATAAAAATAATACATGTGCGTTTGTTTTAGGTAATTTTAGATAGATTTATTGATGTACAGTTTGGAAATAATATATTTATTTCCATCTAACTTTTCCCCGAAATACATCTCATGTGGAATCGCAATGCACAATTGCGATTTTAGAACAGAGTTTAATTAAATTTGCGTCAATCAGTTTATACCTTAAAATACATTTCATGACATTTACGTTATAATTGTGCAAAAAAAAAAATACGATTCAATACCGCATAAAATTTTATCTTTTATTGCAGTGTTTTGCTCAAATTTGTTATAACAAGTGCTTACTATTGTAAAGAAAAACGAGCGACTATTTCTAAAGCAAACTTGCATAGTGAATGGAAAAAATCAATATCAATATATAACGAGAATCGATGAGTGAAATCAACAAACATTTCATATTTTGCATGTTTATATCTCAATTTTGCGTCAACTTTAATCGATCAATTAATAGAATATTAAGAAATTTTCTATCCAAGATTGAGTTTGACATACAAAATTTTCTCCTTTGTTCGTCTCGGTCTGACCTCGCTCTAACGACTCTTTAATATAAACCTTGGGTAGATCGTGATATATTTATATATATAATATAGTGCGATACCATACGATTTATTCTGTTTGTTAAATCTCTTCGGTAAAAAAAATTGCTTTCGAATAATCAAAAGGGGTCATCGCGTCGGGATGTGTCCCACCGCGATTTTCAGCTCGCTCTCCGGATATGTCGGATGAAAAATTTCACCCTCTTCCGTTTGTCCTAACGAGGTCGTGGATTCGTGAGAACAACATTCGCGCTCTCAACCACTCGCCACTCGTACCCGCGACACCGCAAAAGTGTGATACTTCATGTGTCGCGATGTTCAAAGGGGTTGGAAGCATCCCCTGATTGGGGATGAGGATGAGGTCAGTAGTATTCGAGGGCACGAGAATGGATAAATCGACTTCTTTGTGACGTTGCTCTCAAAGTTATCGAGATAAACTATTTGTTTACGTCGCGTAAAAGTGATCGCGATAAGTGTATTGATGCTAATAAAATTAATTACTAAATCGCTGAATTTTTGGGACAAATCGAGATTCGAAGAATAGAGTCTTGATGTAAAACGAAAATATATATGTGAGATGTAACTATTGTAATATTCGCAAGAAAATTTATTAAAATATTGGATAAAGGTATTGTTTCTTATAAGTATTGAAAATGTTGAAAACAAGATATATATTATCGCGATATTAAATTATCATAAAAGATATTGATTTCGATATGCAGAATATTAATTTTCTCTGTGTTATATTAAATTTCTCATACACACATACATACACTGAAAAAATTGTTAACTTAATTTAACTTTTCAATTATATATTAAATAATATTTTAAATGAATAACATAACATTTTGTTAATTAAACATATAAAAATATTTAAATTAAATATATATATATATATATGACATTAAATCTAACAAAACATATTGTATTTGACTCAAATATTAATATATATTCAATTAACAAAATAGTAATTTAGCAATTTATTTTCAGTGTATATATATATACCTGATTATTTATTTTTCTAATATAATTAAAAAATCTCGTGAGCTTGAAAAATATTCTTTCTCCGAGGAACGTTTGTATACTTTGCGTTAAATATGAATTTCAAAAGAAGAGAGCTTTCAAGAAAATACAATAGGAAAATTTGTGTTTTTTTTTTTTTTAAAAACGGTTTCCGTTAAAATTTTTGTGTTAAATATTTAACACATTCATGTGTTAATTTAACATGTTGTTATTGTGTTAATTGAACTTAAATGTTAAATTATTAAAACTATCTATTTTTAATTTTACACAATAAACGTTCTGTTTTAGTGACAAGATTTATCTGTTCAAATTTGCAGGCAAAAATGTTAATTTTTTATTTTATAAGTAGAGATGATAAAATCTAAAATTAACATATTTTTAGGTCATTTTTACATTAAAACATTTTACACGAAATTTATTTTAAATTACTTGAAGGTTTGCATTTATCTTGAGTTAAAAAATTAACACAATATATTTGTGTCTCCATTTAACACATCATGTCAAATTAACACAAAAAATTCTGTGGCTCGTTTGAGATATGTCTTTAATATAAATTTTTCAACTGTGAAGACTGACGGGGTGTTAATCATCCCTGACAAGCTGCTTAGTATTCTTTCATTTGACAACAGATGCTCGCGCGTATATATGTAATATATTTACACACATACATATATGTACTCTTCGGCGAGACAACTTTGTCGGCAGTTTCTTCCTCTCGTAAAATTTGCGAGAGCAAACGGTTATTCCGAAACTCAAGTTATTACCTGGCCGCGCGAGCTGTTATGCACCAACCAACCAACCAACCAACCAACACGCCACGAACTTTCCTACATCGAATTTATTGTTATGCAGCAACTCCGATCTGTAAGCGGAAGTCTCGTCGGGTAGGCGCGCGCGATGAACTTTACGCTTTTAATTAACACCACTTTTCCCGCGCGGTACTTATGGAAATTCCATACTGTCAGCGCGACGTCTCTCCATCGTAGAGTTATGTTAACTCGAGTCCGTCTTGAGAGAAGCTAAGGGAGGCGTTACGCGTTTTAAGTTCCTATACATAGGAGAATTGCGAATTCAATTTGAGAGATAGTGAGTAAACAAGAATACCTCGAGGTTCGGAGTCGCGCCGTTTGAAGTTTGTTCCGTCCTCGGGAAAATCTCGCCTAGACGGGAGAGTTCTGCTTATAAATAAATATCTCATTTTTCGATAGGAGAGAATTTCGAGCGTGGAATTTCGTATCTCGACGATGAGTGTCGAAAGTTGAATACGTCAAAATTATATGGAATAAGATTATCGATCGGGAGGAGCAGAAGTGGACAATATAATATTTGAAATGAAAGGTAGAAGTATATTTAGGTAGAAAATATTCAATTATATTATACATAGTTTTTCGTTGCGAAATAATCAATCAGCGTTAATTAAAATCTTATTTAAAATATCTAATTAACTGTCGAATCAGAAATAAATACTTTAAATATGCATTTCTCAGACTTTCTTTACAAACTTAAAACAGATATGCTTCTAAGTAATATCAATTAAATTAATTATATTTATTTAATATTATACGCATTTACATGCTATTAATTCTTGTTATTTATTAATATATATATCGTTTAATCAAGATAAGGGAAAGAGGGAAAAACAAGGATTACAGACGCATTCGGTTTGGCTCGATATCATTCGGCTCACAGCTATTTATCTTTCGCGATGTGTGTGTATATGTAACTGTCAAATTATGACATTTATCTGGAGAAACAAATAGCTGTGAGCCGAGTGATACCGAGTTCAAGCGAATGAGCCAAAATTGCTTGACCGAAATTACCCCTTATCGTTAATCTCAACTTGTACAAGATTTCGTTTATATTATTTTAAGGTCGGTGAAACAGACGAATATATTCCCAACTCGAAATTCTCTCATCGAAAAAAATAAGATATTACAATACTATACATAAACATTTCAAAAAAAATGTTTTAATGCAAGAAATTATTGATGAAAACTTCAAATGTTCTTTCGAATAAAATTTTCTGATAATATAATTCCTCTTCAGACAATTTCAATTATCGCATTTCAAATAAATGTCTGCTATGCGCTTGTACCTGTCATTTCTTCATAGAAAATAAGAAATATCTTATAAAATAAAATTGTAAAACAAGACAAATTTTTAAAATAAAAAAACTCACATTTTTTCGAGTAATTTGGTTTTCTACTCTGAAGACTCAACTAATTTAGACGATTATTTCGCACGATGAAAAGCGCGCGTAGGCGGAACGATTGGAAGTGTATTACAATAGATGCTCAATTTTCGAAATCGTATCCTGATTTATGATAGGGAAGGCGACAGGAGGGATGAGGATTACTATACGCACGTGTATGAGTCATTCGCCCACGCGATTCATTCGCCCCTTTAATTCATATATGCGCGGTGCATGAGTCAGCGCTGAATTACGGGGATAAAAGAGCGAATGACCGGCCGTGTATTAGTTAGTACATTACAACCCCGTGATATATCGACTCCGCTGCGGAAGCACGTAGCTTGTGGAAGGAAC